CCCAGGAACTCTGGAATGCAGGCTGCCAGATGGGTGAGGGGGTGAGGCCTGGGAGGGAGGAGAGGAGGAATAGCAGGTGGGAAAGACGCTCACTGCAGCAACAGGGCCAGGGTAGCTTTCCAAACTGAGTGCTAGGCTGGGAAAGATGCCTTTGGACATTGCTGTGTCCAACAGACACTCTTCCAGCCGATACCAGGGTTCGTAACTTCCTAAAGAGATGTGGGAAGGATTCCACGGTGAACCCCTCTTCTTGTCTCCCGGCACCCTCAGTGGCTATGAATGTGCAGACTGCGGGGCTCGAGATGGACATCTGTGATGGGTTATTCCGCCAGAACGGCGGCTGTGGCTACGTGCTGAAGCCAGACTTTCTGTGTGACGCCCAGAGTTCCTTCCATCCGGAGAGGCCCATCAGTCCTTTCAAGGCCCAGACCCTCTTAATCCAGGTATGATGGAGAGAAAAATTGGAGAGCAGGTCAGGAAATGGGATAAGAGGTGATTTTGGATATCTATGTGTGAGAGGCAGGATATCATGACTAAAAGCATGATATTTAGGATGCTATTTGACTAAAGTCTGTTTAGGTCCAAACACACTAGTGTGCAATGCTGGGCAAGTTACTTAACCTTCCAATACCTCAATCTCTTCACCTGCAAACTGAGGGTAATATTATAATACTACCAACCTCAGAGTTGAAAGTATTACATACAGTACTTGGTACATACATGTCAATTCGAACTTTAAAATCCTTTTTGGGTGCATTTAAAATTGAAGCTAGGTTACTAGAAGAAAAGATAAGTGCCATGGAGCAATAGCTAAAGCCCAAGGTCCTGTGTCCTTTCCCTTTTCCCTCCTCTGGGGTGATGGCTGGAGTGTGGGCTGGGCTGAGCAGGGGCTAGTGAGGTTCCAGAGCTCTGTTGCAGGTGATCAGTGGTCAGCAACTCCCCAAAGTGGACAACATCAAAGAAGGGTCGATTGTGGATCCACTGGTGAAAGTGGAGCTTTTTGGCGTCCGCCCAGACACAGCCCGGCAGGAGACCAGCTATGTGGAAAACAACGGTGAGGGACTGGCCAGTCCTGGGGGGACAGGGGGAGATAGAAGCGTGACCATTGGTTTCCTTCCTTCCTGCCCTCCAGTAAAAATAGGCCACGTCACCCCTTCCCCATGTGGAACCATAGAAAGAATAAGGGCTGGGGCGACAGTTCATATGGCTTAGTGATAGGGGATTGCACTGCCAACCCAGAGGCAGGTGGTTCAAATCCACCAGCTGTTCCTAAGAAAAGTGGGTAGTCTTTTCCTGTCCACTTTACAGCCTCTGAAAACCTGCTGGAGGGTAAGCTATGATCAGCCTGTTCTGACTCAGCAGCAATGATTTAAGTTACCCTAAACACACACAAAAAAAAGGCTGGGGCATCTTAGGCCTAAATTCTGGGTCCTCACTTAAAGCTCTGGGGAGCTGGGCACATTGATGACCACTCTGAGCTCTCATGTTTCCTTGGCTGTAAGATGCTAATTACTATGACAATTATATGAGAGAACCATGGAAATTGTGGCGCTGTGTCTAAGGGAAAGAGCTGGAGATGTCTCCTTCCACTTCAGGTTTTAATCCTTACTGGGGACAGACATTATCCTTCCGGGTCCTGGTGCCTGAACTCGCCTTGCTCCGTTTTGTGGTGGAGGATTATGACTGGAAATCTCGAAATGACTTTGTTGGTCAGTACACCTTGCCTTGGACCTGCATGCAACAAGGTGAGGCAGTGCTCGGATTCCTGGTCAGCACGCCACCTCAGAGCACCTTCTTAAGTGTCGCTCTCCTGTCCCTTCCCAGGCTACCGCCACATACACCTGCTCTCCAGGGATGGCACCAGCCTCCACCCAGCTTCCATCTTTGTACACATCTGCATTCGCGAAGAGCCAGAGGAGGCTGAAGGCTGACGTGGGCACTTCCATGTGGAGGGTGGTGCGCTGGCTTTAGATGGTGAGGAAAGCAAAACATAGAAGGATGCTCTGAGGGCAAACAGAGGTGGAATTTTTAATTCTGCATCATTCCTAGTCTCAGTTAACGTCCCCCAAGCTAACCTCGGGCTTGGTTTTAATTCTTTTCTCACCTGCACTGCCATGGAATCACTCCTGCCCTTTCTCTGGACTCTGCATAGAGTTTCCTCCTTCCTCTTGCCACAGTTCACTCACTCGGCTAGATCGAGATCTAGGGCTGATCAGCCAAATGAATCCTGGCTCAAAAGGAGACTGCGGCCCAAAATCTAACCTGGGGCTGGAGAATCCCAACGAAGTATTAGCCCCTCTACGTCTTCCTCAGAGCTCAGAGCTAAGGGAAGGAAGGAAGGATGCATGAAACTTCCAGGCTCCCCAAGCAAAGGCTGAGCAAGACGACACCATGACTCAGAGAACATGACAGTCCCAAGCCCCACCGGACTGCTCTTCTCTAGCCCAACCTAAATAAACACACCTCTCCTCACTGCAGTGTGGACGTGGTCTTATTGTTGGACAAGAACAGGAGAACAAAGGTTGTAGGACATCTGGGTAGAAAGGTAGGAAGGGGAAAAGCAGAAAAGCAATAGGTTCCTAGCCCATTTCTTCTCCTCAACTCGATATGCTGCATTAGAAGGACACAGAACAAAGGCTGGTTAAGGGAAAGGCAAGAGGAAGAGACAAAGGGCTATGTGGCGTCCATTCTCCTGGTTTGCCTGGGTGGTGGTGGTTGTTGAATGCCGCCTAGTCGAGCACAACTCATAGTGACCCTATAAACAAAAGGCCTGAAGCCTTTCTATAACTATCGACACTTATAAAATTTAATAAAGTTTCTGGAGGCATGTTGTTTAGGAAGTAGATGCTACTCCTGTTTCCAAACCTGTCTTAAACTGGGAGCTCTACCAAACACTGTCCACCATGGGTAACCATTACAGCATCTGACACCCCAATGGCACAAGGCTCAGCATCACAGCAACCCCAGGTTACCTCAGTACAGCATATTGACAGAAGAGTGCTGTACCACTAAGAAGAATGTTCCTCCAAAATATAATAACAACTAACTTTAAATACTAACGCCCTCCCCGAAGTCTTGTTGACTTCTAAACAAGAGGCTTGAATAAAAAAAACAACACCCAATATAGTATGTTGTTGTTACGTGCCATTGAGTCACCTGCGACTTACAGTGACCCTATGTACTGGGTTAACCTTGGTTATTTCCATTGTCCTAGTCTAATTTAATTATCAGGATGCTCTGGGGGCTTGTTGTTGTTGAGGACCATCAAGTTGGAACTGACCCCTAGCTGACCCTCCAGCAGATTTTCAGAGGCTGTTAATCAGACAGGAGGAGATGGCCCATCTCTCTCCTGCAGAGCAGCTAGCAGATTCGAAAAACGGCCTTCAGGATTACAGTGTAGTTTCTTACCAAGAATTGCACTGCCAATGTAAAGGTACATGGTTTGAATCCACCAGCTAACCTGCAGGAGAGAAAGATGGGCAATGTCCCCCCATGCCATTTACTCCTCAAAAACCTGTTAGAGGTCAGTTTTGACTCAACTGTATTATACAACAACAGTCTGATTAGACTAATTATTACGGAGCTCTGGTAGCCTAGGGTTAAGGAGCTGCACTGTCCACCCAAAGGCAGACAATTCAAATCCACTAGCTGCTCCATGGAGAGACAGGCAATCTTCTGACAAACCCACTCGAAGTTCAGCAATGAGTCAGTTCAAACTCTATGACAGTGAGTCGAGCCTATTAATTAGTGAACTCTGGGGTCATAGTCTGAAGGGAATCGCACGGCTAGGCCAACGGAAGTTATCTCTCTGGTGATCCAGACCCACTAGCAGCTCCTCCAGAGAGAAATGGGCAGTCTTCTCTTGAGCGAGGACAGCCTTAGAAACCCGAGCAAAGGTCAACTGTCAAGTTGATTTCAACTGACGGTGATGAGAGTCCAATTATTATCAGAAACCTCCCATGTGTCCCAGTTTAGGAGCCCTTGTGACAGTGGCTAAACACTCGATTCCAAACTCAGAGGTTGGCAGTCTGAACCTACCAGCCACTCCACAGAGAAAGATGTGACATTTTGCTTCTGTAAAATCAGAGCCCTGGAATCCTGACATGGCTCAGCTGTCTAACAGAATCACTAGGAGATGGAACTGACCCGACAGCAATGGGGAGCAGAGGGGTCTCATTTCAGCTGATTGATTATAGTCATCGTGAGGCACCTACAGGCTCCTAGATTAGAGATTTAACTCTCCAATCACGTGCCTTTCACACCATCCTTATGCCTTAAATTTCCTATTAAGCTGCTGAATTAGTCCAAGGACTGATGGTAAACTAAAGCTGATTTCTGTGGAAGGCTTGGAATATGGTAGCCTACACACACCAAGGGCTCAGAAGTAGGGAGTGGGGCCAGGGTCGCAACAGCCTCAAGGACAGAGAAAAGGCAGATCTTTCTGGGTCTATTTGAGAATCAATCACCAAATGAAAATGGAATGAGACAAAGGAGAGGAGACTGAGGTCTGAGAAGTGACAGGGCAGATTGAGATGACAACCTAGAAATGTTAAGACTGGAATTTGGATGCATCAATAAGCTAGTAATCACTCTGTTTAACATGCTTTATAGAGTATCAGGCACACCAGCACATGTGGTTAGATACATCTGTCTGGAGGAGGATGAACTGAAAATGAGAATGTGACATTGTAAGAAGTAAAGAGCACAGAATAGATAAAACCAAGATCTTACACCAGGGCTATAGTGGAGTGATGGTGAAGAAACTAAGAACTCATGAGTTAAAAGAGAGTGCCTCAATAAGAAGTCATGTTGCTGTCCGTGTCTTTTTATATATATATATATATATATATATAGCTGTCAACTCCCAAGTATACAGAGTCCCAGGACGGTTCCAGCCTCCCTGACACCCCAAAGCCAGTCTTTTCTCAAGCCCTGAACTCCCCAGGCCTGCTCTAGGTCCAGGTGCACACCCTCTTCCTGTCTGGGAAGTGGGTGGCTGCTTAGCCCTCAGGTCCGGTAGGCGGTGCAGCAGGAGCAGGAGGGCCAGGGTCCTCCAGCTGCACGTCATGCAGATGCACTGTGGGGGTGGTCGGGTCCTTGCCCACGCCCTGGTTTGGGTCCATCTGGTCCGGGTGGTGCCTGCGCACGTGCTTGACCACCTGGAATTTCTGCTTGGCCTTGTAGCTGCAGAGTCTGCAGAAAAAGGGGTGGCGGTCAGTGTGGGTGAGGGCGTGGTGGCGCAGGCCGGCGGCCCACCTGAACGCCCGGTGGCACACGTTGCACACGTAGGGTTTGGCCTCGCTGTGCTTGCGGAGGTGGGTGCGCAGCAGGAAGCGCGTCTTGAAGGCCTTGCCACACTGTTCGCACATGAAGGCCCGCGCGTCCCGGTGCCGCGTCTCCCGATGCACACGCAGCGCGTCCGCCCGGTTGGTGCAGTACTCACACTCGGGACACTGGTATGGCTTCAGTCCTGTCGGGGAGAGCAAGGGCAGGACGGGGGAGTCACACAGTGGCAGGGCAGCCTCACGTCACCGTGGGACTGTGATCCGCACACACATAGATCTGACTTAGTGACCACTTCCTAGGAGTGCTCCAGTTCTGTCTCACACTTCATGTCTTTCCCGCAGCTCTCCTTTCATACAGGAGGTGCTCTATGGAGGCTGACCGCTAACTGGACCCCTAATAGTGATTTGTTCCTATTAGTAATAAATACAGGCTGGCTGCCTGACAGTAATGACTACTCAAATACTGTGGAGTTTCCAAAAGGGAGATTCTAGCTCCCTTTTGGTCACAAAGCAGGCACTCAAGGGATTTTGGAATTAATTTAAAACCAACTCCTCCTTTAACTCAAGAAATAAAAGAAAATGTTGTGGGGGAAGGGGTGAGGCAAGATTAGCGGTATTGGGGAGCTCTGGTGGCCTAGTGGCAAGAAGTTGTACTGCAATCCCAAAGATACACTGTTCGAATCCACCAGATGCTCTGCCGGAGAAGGAGGGAAAATCTCCTCCTGTACCAGTCAGATCTGATTTGACGGTACATACACAAAAAATAATAAAATTAAAAAAAAATACTTTAAAAAAAATTAGCGGTATTGACAGGCAGAGGGCCCTGGGATGTATCTGGTGGAACCCTCCCCCAGGGAGGGGCCACATGGAATGATCACAGACACACCATTAATCCTTCTCTGTGGATTTACACTTCATCAGCCTCAAACTCAGGAGGAAAAGGGGCACTGAATGGAGAACGCTGTTTTCTCTATACTTGTTCCACCATGTTCATACAGGGACTACGTAGACCTGTCTGCCTTCATTCCTGTTCAAGCTGGAGTTTCTCAACTAGGGGTGGGGAGCTGCACATGCTCCAACTGTCAGGTTCACCCCTCTTCTGAAAGGTCTTTTTTCTTTTTTCCTATTTTTTAAAAATAATTTTAATGAACATTTACAGAGAATTTGGATTTCCATTCATTGCTGCAAAAAGTTTTTTATTATTATTATTTTTGTGTGTACCATCAAATCAGATCTGACTGGTACAGGAGGAAATTGTCCCTCCTTCTCCAGCAGAGCATCTGGTGGATTCAAACCGTGCACCTCTGGGATTGCAGTGCAGCTTCTTGCCACTAGGCCACCAGAGCTCCCCTTTGAAAGGTCTTTTTTATTAAAGAAGGTGGGGAACCACTTCTAGGACATCGCCTCAATGTGAAAATCAGGACACTAAGCGAGGACACACACCACCTCAGGGTCTGTCAGGGGCACAGGACCTCACCTGTGTGCTTACTCATGTGGTATTTGAGCTGGTTGACCCACTTGCACTTGTAGCCACAGTCGGGGCACAGGTACTTGCGTTCCTCCTTATGGATCCGCATGTGGTACTAGAGGAGAGCAGAGCAGAGAAGATACCTGGATGAGGCCCACTCTTGGGTACTTACCAGATGAGCACAGAGGCCAAGAGACAGGAAGCTGTTGGCACATAAACTTGTGCTCTGCTCCCATCCTATGCATACGCCCAAGACTGGTCTGCAAGTCTGATCATTTGACACCAACTGAGTTCGGCCTCGATCTGAGTCTGAATCTCAGCCATTGACTAGCTGAGATACTGGGTGAATTAACCCCCAGTTTTGTTAATCTGTAAAATGAGGAATAGATAAAGTATCTTTATCTTATAATGGATTAAAGTTAGAATGTTTGGTATCTTGTTAGTTAATGTGAGCCATTATCACCATCCAGGTGACCTCCTTAAAAATTACATATTTTTATCCTATTTCAAGCCTCGATTACAGAATCTCATCTTTGGACCAACTCTGTGAAATTAGCATTATCCCTTTTTCACAGATGAGGAATCTGAGGCTTGGAGAACCTAGGACTAGAGAAGAGGTAGCTTCTCTCCAGGGCCTGCGCTCCTCCCCCGCCCTGGCTTCAAGGCCCCTGACCTTACCTTGAGGCGGGAGGGGTCAGCACAGGCATAGGGGCAGAGGTGACAGCGGTACGGCTTTTCCCCGGTGTGGATGCGGCTGTGCCAGGTGATCTTCTGCCGGTTTTTGGTGCTGTAAGCACAGTCGGTACACTTGTAGAGCCGAGTGCCCCCGTGTCCCTTCACATGGTGATCAAGCACCAGCTGGTGGCGGCATGCAAAGTCACAAAAGGGGCATCGCAGAGCGGGCTGGCTAGCATCCCCGTCCACAGCTGGGGCTGCGCATACAGGGTCCTCATGCTGCTCCAGGTAGTGCTTCACCAGACCCACCTGCTCCCGGGCGGCAAAGTCACAGAGCTGACAGCGGTGGCTGAAATGCTGCTGCCTCCGGTGCTCCTCCAGCGCCGGCCGGCTCGGGAAGGCCTCTCGACAGGCCGTGCACTCCAGCCGGGGGTGCTGCTTCCGGGTGTGTCCACGCAGGCTGGCAGGGCTGGGGCACAGCAGCCCACAGCGCGAGCAGTGCAGGGGGCCCTGGGCAGCCTCTGTTGGCGAGCCGGGGGCTGCAGGTGCGGGCTCAGGGTGCCGGCGTAGAGCATGCTGCTTGAGTGCCGTCTCAGAGCTGAACTGGGCCTCGCACTGGGGGCAGGCAAAGGCGGGGGTGCCCTGGTGGCAGCTGTTGACATGGCGCGTGATGTCATGGCGGAGATAGCCACTATAGTCACAGAGTGGGCAGAAGTGGGTGGGCGTCTTGTCATGTACCCTCAGCCGGTGCAAGCGGAGCTTGGAGTTGGTGCCAAAGGTCTGGGGGCAGGAGGTACAGGGGATGCGGCCAACGCCCGTGTGCCGAGACTGGTGAGCCTCCAGCCGGTACCGCCTGGTGGTGGAAAAGTCACAGAAAGGACACTGATGTGGCTTCACCCCTTCGTGCTTGAGCCTCCGGTGCTGCTGCAGACATCGGCTCTGCTTGCACGTGAAGCTGCAGTCCCCACACTGCAAGGGTGGCCGGGGGCCTCGGGCAGCGCCTGCAGCCGGGTGCCTCCTCTTCTGGTGGAGCCTCAAGGCAGTGGCAGCAGAGGTGGTAAATGGGCAGAGGTCACAATGCAGGTCTCCAGACTCCTCGAGGGGGCAGCCCCGGGCCTGGTGAGTCCTCAGAGCACGTTCCTGCTGGCAGCTGAAGGGGCACGTGGGGCAGGAGAAGCGAGCCCCCTTTTGTCTGGGGACCAGAGCTGCATCCCCACCACTAGGGCTGGGCTCTGTGCTCCCAGTGCCCTCGGGGGCAAGGTCTCCATTGTTCATGGGGGACACCACAGGCTGGCCTTGGGGAGACCCTCGCTTCCCACCCCCTCCACGTGCACCCCGGCAGCCTTCAGCCACATGAGAAGTAATGGAGGACAGTCGAGAGCAAAGGAATGTGCAAGAGTTGCAGTGAAATTTGCCCTGCTCAAAGTGGAACTTGTCAGATGTCCCTGTGGGCGTGGGGTGGTCTCCTGCAGGAGGAAATGGGGAGCCAGAGAGGGTAGTGAGAGGCTCCTCTATTTCTCTTGGCTCCTGGGGCGGCTCAGGAGGAGGATCTTTTGGAAGTACCAGCTCTATTTCCAACGGCTCTGGCGGGGGCTTCCCAGCTTTTGCATCCTCTGAGGTCTGGGTGCATGTGGGCAGAGGGCTGGGTGAGTCGGACCTGGACAAGCCTTTGTTTTTTCTGAGCAGAACAGGGCACTTCTTCAGCAGGTGGGTGCTAAGGCCCCGCTGCTGCTTGAAGCTGGCCCCACACTCAGGGCACAGCAGGGGCTCTCGACGACCCTGGCAGCCAGTCCTGTTGTGCAGACTAAAGGCCTTTTCCCGGCGGGTGATAAAAGGGCAGTGAGGGCAGCGAAAGGCCTGCCCCTCTGCCTGGATCACCACCATCTGCACGCGCCCCTCCAACACCAGTGCCTCGGCTTGCTCTTTGTCTTGTCTCCGTAGGGCCTTGAGTAAGGACTCTGACTCGGGCAACTGGGGTGAGGGTGCAGTCTCAGCAGGTGGCGTTGCCTTGAAGGTCTCCACCCAGCCACCAGAGGGCTCCTCTGGGAAGGGAGGCTGTCTGAGGAGCTCAGGATCTGGCTTCTCCAGAAGGGGCTCTTCAGCACCCAAGCTGGCAGGCTCAACGCCTTCAAAGCTAGTGAGCTCTGTCAAAGCTCCCTCTGATCCTTCCAGTCCCAGCGGCCCTGAGGGATCCAAAGGCCGGAATGTCACAGGGGCTGCCTCTGCGATGTCCTCAAGTGGTGGCTCGGTGGGTTCCAGCTCCACACCCAGGGCCTCCAGGTGAAGAGTGCAGCCACCCTCGTCCACCTCGGCTGGGCTGGGGCTGCCAGCCAGATCGTCTCCCTGGGGAGCTCCGCCGCCATCCTGTCTCCCAGCACCATCCTCCTCGCTGGTCTCTGGCAGTGCCTGCACCAGGCTGGGATCCACCACGGTCCCAGGGTCGGGGCCCAGCTCCTCAGGCTGGGTGGACAGCTGGTTTGAGGACTGCGTGTCTGGCAGGGGTGTTGGGCACTGGCTGGAGCGCTCTGGCTCCTGGCTTGCGTACTGGAGCTGCCAGACCTGGTCCCCGGGCACGTAGCCGTGGGCCTTTCGCTTGTGGAAGAAGAGTGTGGTGTTGCTGAAGGTGCGGTAGTCGCAGAGCGCACAGCGGAACTCCCGCAGCCGGGTGTGCTTGCAGTTCTCGTGGCTCAGCAGGGCCTGCTTGTGGCGGCTCTGGTAGCTGCAGTAGCGGCAGGGGTAGAGGGGGGCTGGCGTGCCAGGGCGGTGCTGGGAAGCCATGTGCTTCTGCAGCTCATACTTCCGCTTGCAGGCAAAAGCACACACCTCACACATCAGGGTCTTGCCCTGGTGCCGTAGTTTGTGGCTGCTCAGCTGGTCGGCCCGGTGGCAGCGATAGGAGCACTGGTTGCACTGGTATCTGCCAAGGAGACAAGAGGGCAGTAATCATAAATTAATCACAACTGGCGAGCTCTGGTGGCCTAGTGGCAAGAAGCTGCACTGCAATCCCAGAGGTGTGTGGTTCGAATCCACCAGATGCTCTGCTGGAGGAGCGACAATCCAATTTGATGGTGTACACACACACACACACACACACACACACAAGAAACATTAAAAAAAATTAATCACAACTATCAGTCACTAACAGGTTCTTAACTCTGAGCCAGGCTCTGCCTTTAATAGTGTCCCTGAACCATCTAATGGAATCCTCCTTCCCACTACCCCATGAAATAGGTATCTACATTTTTACAAGTGAGAAATTTAGACAAAAAGGAGTCAATAACCTGCCAAAAGTTACAGAAGAAATGAGGGACACAGGCAGGATTTGAATGCCTAGCTTCAGGGTCTGATCCCCACGCTGGACGGCTTCCTAAGCAGCAGCAACCACACCACTGACTTCTTAGGCGCTAACCCCGCTAGAGCTCAGCAGAGCAGTTCTGTACCCAGATCCCATTATCCCATGAAAGCAGGAATTTTTTGGATCAAGCCTCCTAACCAGTTGTGCTCACAAGTTCAAAAGGAACTGGCCTGGACTTGAAAAGTACCACTTAACCAAGACCAGACTCGGAACTCAAGTGGTATCTCTAGGCCTGTAGCCCTTTCCCTGAGCCCAGAAAGCAATCAATGCATAGACTGGGCCATACGCACAGAGGCTGACAACAGACGACAAAGGGAGCAGGGAAAGGGTTAAGGAGTCATGAGTGAGTGATGGGGTCAGGGCTGGGAGCCAGGAGAAGCCTGAGGCAGCACCCGGTTCACAGGGTGGGGAGAGGCCTGTGTGCTCATACCTGAGGTCTCCCGCATGTTTGCGCATGTGCACGCTGAGGTAGTGCTTCCACTTGGTGACGTAGCCACACTCAGTGCACATGTAATCCTTGACGTTGGAGTGGGTCAGCATGTGCTTGGACAGGTAGCTCACGTCTCGGCATGTGAAGTCACACAGCTCGCACTTGTGAGGTTTCTCACCTTAAGTGGGGAGAGGAGTAAGGACGAGGGGAAGAGACCATGGATCAGACCCAGTCTGAGCGAGCTGCCAGACCCCGCGGCTCAGCAAGCCTGCTCTGACGCCTGCCAGATGTGGAGCACTTGCCAGATGTGGGGCACCACGTGCTACCGAAGGGCTGAACGCACCTCCACTGGCATACCCCTCTCAGATCACTGCTCCTCTGACTCCTACGCTGAGGAGGACAGGAAGAAAGCAACACTGAGCTTTTATTTTTAACTTAAAACTAGCTTAAAGTCCACTTTTGATTTGCTCACTGGCAGAACAGCCAACTATTCTCCATTTGACCCAATCCTTCCAGAGAGTCTGATATAGTGATAAAAATACTAATAGCCAAAATTTATACTGTGCTATCCAGGTGGATGCTTTTCTGACCATTTAATAATGTTTCCTCTCCCTGAATCCTTACAACATCCCTATAAAGCGGACACTTGTATTAAGTAGCTATTTTATGGGTGAGGAAACTGAGACATAGAGAACTGTTAAATGATGGTTAAAAATCTCAAATTTGCATTATTTGTGGCTGTGGGCAGGTCTTTCAGCCTAATTGTCTCCCGATCTCCAAAGAGGGGGCAAGCAAAATACTGGGTTCACACAGTTGTGAAGAGTAAAGGCGGGCAATGTCCTCCGTTAGAATTACAGCCTCCGAGAACCCGATGAAAGGCCAGATCAGTGTTGGTTCCGACTCAATGGAAATGTGTGTGAGCGTGGAAGTGCTCATGGTATCAGTGAGAACAAACGGTCAAGGTGCCAGTGTGCTGGCCAAAGCCTGGCACTAAGAGGCTGAAGGCAGGTTTCTCCTGAGCCCCTACCTGTCATCAGCTGCCCACCCCACCAGCCCCTTTCTCTGGCAAGCAACACGGTGCTCTGGCTTTGAGACTAGATGTGTGGTCTTGGAATAGTCACCTAACTCTGCAGTGTTTGCTTTCTCCTCTTTACCTGCCTTCAACACAAAACTGTTTTTATGGATTAAAGAGGATAACGCATCTAAAAGAAGTCTGTAACATCTAAAACACTGGGCACATGTACAGTTTTAGGAAAGGCCTATGAAACATGAGACTGTGTGACTAAGGCATATTTAGAAATAATCTGCTCAACGGAACTATGGCTTTATCCTAAGCCTCCTATGAATGGCCTTCCCAAACTAAAGAATCCTCGATGAGACCTTTGATACACTGCCAGTCCACCGAGGCTCCCACTAAGGTCCCGAGGAGGATGCTGACAGGCAGGAATCTTGACTTGGTTGTAATCCAAAGCATCAGTAATGCTGGTAACCAAGTCTCATCTAAAACACATGCAGCTTCCTGGTCATTCGAGGCGACCCTGTCTGAGTGTCATAAGCACACAAGCCGTGGGAAGGCCACACGTATATGACTGTGTTTCTTTGTCAGGACGTGTCTCTCATGGCATATCCCAAAACTTGAAATGCAAAGGGAAGTATCTGTCCTGACCCGGGCACGTCCACTATTACTGAAGGTCAAACAGCCTGAACTGGGGGTTGGGACAAAGGATTAAGTTTAGGCAAAAAACATATTGGTTAGAACATGGGTTCTGGAATCAGACAACTGGTAACCATATTACGAGGCTCATCTGTAAAGCCAGAATACCAGGCCTATCTCTAAGACTACGAGAAGGGAGAAGATGTACGCAAAGGCCTGTCACGTCAGTCACGGTCACGCCAGCTGTCATCACTATGGCACGGTAAGGACGCAGGCCATCTCACCAGTATGCAGCAGCATGTGTCGGATGAGCACCCTCTTGTGGGCGGTGGCAAAGCTGCATTCGGGGCACTGGTGGATCTTCTCGTGTGCATGCATCTTGCCCACGTGGTCCTGGTAGGCCACTGGGTTGAAGGTGGCGAAAGGGCAGAAAGTGCACCGCAGCTCTTCACTGCCAGGGTGGCCCTGCTTCTTGTGCTTGCGGAACAGGTGCTTGTTGGAGCAAGCGAAGTCACAGTGGGGGCAGTGGAAGGCGTAATGGCTTTTGTGGTGGACCTCCATGGCCTCGGCCGTGGCGAAGAGCATGGGGCACGAGTGGTGACGGCACTCCACCGCTCGCAGCCCATGGGCCTCCTTCAGGTGCTTCACGAAGGCCTTGCGGTGGGGCGCTGAGTAGCCACAGCCCTCCTGAAAGCAGCCGAGAGGCAGCGGCTCTGCTGCTGCCGCCGCCGTGTGGCTCTTGAGGTGCTCCTTGAGGGCCTGGCTGCGGTGGAATTCCTCGCGGCACACAGGACAGGCGTAGGTGTCCGAGTAGAAGTTGGAAATGTCCTCGTGCATGCTGGCCATGTGGCGGTTGAGCGCGTTCCTCTCCACGGCGCTGTAGTGGCACAGCGGGCAGCGATGGGCCTTCTCGCCCAGCTCGCGAAGCAGGTGGGTCTTGAGCTTGCTCTTACTGGTGAAGAACTTCTGGCAGTTGGGGCACTGGAGGCTGGGGTCTGGGAAGTGGAGATGCAGGTGCTCCACCAGGTGGGTCCGCTTCTTAAAGCAGCGCTTACACTCTGGACACATGTGGGTCTTGAAGAGGGACTCAGCACCAGAAGCCACCTCACCTGAGAGAGGGCGGAGAGGCACAGGGGGATGAGCAGGGAGACAGGGAAGGCTGGAGCCGGAGTCTTTGATAATGGGATACCCACAATTCCCGCGCCCCCCAACCGGGCACAAACACTGTGATAGCGGACTCCTTCTCTCCAGGAAACAAATAATAGGGCCTCAAACAAGAGCTGATAGATGGCAATTCAAGTACTCAGAAAAACAAAATTAGAAACCCATGCTGTGGCCTGTTTCATTTGGTTTACCCAGTCACCCACTGTTCTTGTCCTTTTCTTTAGAGTTGTTCAAAAGAACAATCCAGATGGAACATTCTTCCATAGAAAATAAACAGAAGGGCCTCATGTTCCATAGATGTAAACAAAAGGACCAGCAGGGATGTTTGGAAGGAAAATAACCCCGACGGGAGTGAGAAGAAAAGGAGGTAAAACATTCTTGCTTCGAAACGCTGGCTCACGGGGTTCGAGGTGATTTAGAGCTGGTAATATATACAATCAGATCTTGTCTGTTCACCTGACACTAATTAGACTCCCCAGGAGATAGGTTTCAAATGTTCTATCTCGGAAACCTGGGAAGCAAGGATTTAAGTGGGGGAAAAAAATCTGAAGGAGCTCAATGTCAGATAGCAGAGGCTTGAACATCAGTAATCACTAGCATTTCATACCACGGATTCCATTATCTACCCCACAGGAGAGTTTTCTGCCTTATGAAAAGCAGCCCAGAACAAACTATTTATCCCAATCCTATTCCCAGAGTCTCTATTCACTTAGCATTTTTCTACCAGATAGGTCAAGGTGGAATGGAAAGAAATGAGGGGGCCAAACCAAAGCTGACTTCATACCTGGGAGCTGCAAGGCCAGGCTATCTACACCCATTCCTCCCCATCGTCAAGCTAATGGTGTTGGTGCCGAATGGTGCCATTACCTTCCATCCGCTGAGCCTCCTTGCCATTTTCTGGGGATTTCTGGGAGTCCTTCGGGGAGTTACTCTCTTCTTCCTCTTCCTCTTCCGCTGACTCCTGCCCAGGCATGGGCACGCCTGCTTCTTCTGAAGGTTCCCCCTCTTCTGGAGGCTGTTTCGGTGCTAGAAATACATAAAGCCTAATGAAGTCTACAGGAACCAGTGAATGTTCTTCTCTGGTATGACGGTATCTGAGGTTCTAAGGAACTACAGTTAATTCCACTTAAGACAGGTATGGGTGGAGCAGGAGTTAAGCTGTCAACAATACTCCAGTCTAAAGGAGATGAAACCTCAGGTAACACCAGCCTCAGACTCCCTGAAGGTAAGAGCTTTGAGGTTATCAGAGGGCTGAGAGGTAAGAATGGGTCAACTCTACCTCCCCAGCTCAGTGTAGGCCAACACACCCTGATCTTATTCTGAGAAACCCAACTCAACAGCTGAAGGTCATCATATCTTGCTGCCTCGAATCTACTCAATCAACTTCTCAACAGAGGCCGCTCTAACAATAAAGTTGTTAGGACTCTTCTTCAGAAAACAGCTGAGTCTTTTGTAAGCTAAGTTCTCTCATCAGAATCCTGCTCTGTTTTCTCAATTTCCTTCCTGCTTCTCTATTCATCCCACACTGGGTTTTGGTTTGTTGTATGTCTTCCTCACAAAAGAGCAAGAACAATCAGTGACGTATTCACCTAACCCAAGCATCTCTTGCCTCACTCCCTAATTCCATTTGTTCTGAAAGGTAGTCTACAAGCATTCTGTTGATAGACATTTAACTTTTACCCCTGGAAAATTCTGAAATGGATCAGAAAAAATATTAGCCAAGTATCTTCAAGGTCAAAATGTATTAACAGCCAAATTCTACTCCTTCTCAGAGACAAAGGTTTCCTCTTGGCTACCTTACATATTCTGACTGATCAACGGTTTCATGCATTGATATAGACAGAGATGTAGATATAATCTATAGATATAGAAATCATCCAGTAATTCTGTCTTCCTGAACGGCTGCTCTGGATTCCCTCGTACTCACGCACTGCTCTCTCCCACAGGCTTGATGGTGCATTCCAGGTGACCACGGGACCCTTTGTCTCATACCTGGCCGCAGCTCCTGGGACGGAGGGCCTTGAACGGCAGAAAGTTCTCCCTGTGCTCTGGCACCATGGCTGCGCTGATGCTGCCGGAATAGCTTGATGTTGGAACCCATGAAGCTGCAATGGCTGCAGTGGAAAGGGTAATGGGTCTGCCGGTGTAGCTCCATGCCCTGCTGGCTTCCAAAGAGCAAAGGGCAGCCCCGGAAAGAACAGGGCACAGGAACAGCTTTGTGAGTCTGCCTGAGGTGGTGCTGTAGACCCTTGCGATCTTCAGGGGAGAATGCACAGCCAGATTCTGGGCAGGAGAAGGTGGCAGGAGCGCTTTGGTGAATCTTGAAGTGGCTCTTCAGGGCCTGGGGCTGGGCAAACTCCTGTCTACATACAGGGCATGGCAGAGGGCTCTGGCCCTGCAGAGAGCCAGGGAGGGTGAGGTTGCTGGGAGGAAGCTCCAGAGTGCAAGGGGAGCGAGGCAGGCCCTGCACAGGCTGTATGAGGGCCTGAGGGCACTGGTGCAGGGCCAGCAGAGCGGGCTCTGCAAAGCTCTGCTCGCAGCGCTCACAGAAGTACACTTCCACCACCTTTACCAGGACACCTGCAGGCAAGGACCAACAAAGAAAGGCACAATATCAGACAGAAGGAGACTCGCAGGCTCTTAGTCCAAAGTGCAGTGAATATTTTAATATCCATCCATGGGGTGAAGATGGTCTAATCTATCACCTTGAATGTTAAGTCCCATGAGGTCAAGGACAGTCTATCTTGCCCATGTGTGTATATTCCTAGTACCTAGCACAGTACTTGGCACAAAACTTATTAGATGCTTAGAAATATTTGTTAAGTGGGTGAACAAACATGAACCAAATCCAGAAAACATTAATAGTAGTATATTTTGCCCAAACAAAAATAGGAAACTTCCAAAAGAAAACTCAATAAAACTATAACATATCCTCTCAGGGGGAAATCTCTGCAACACAAATGACAAAGTGTTACTTTCAGTTCTATCAAGAGCTTTACAAAATCAATAAAAAAGATGAACAGCTTATAAAACAGTGCCAAAGGGTTTCCAATAGCCAATTCAGAAAATAAAAAGAACCAATAAATGAAACAAAATATTGACCCAATTACCAATGCTAATCAAAACAAAATTATCATTTCCCTCTCTGCTGGGTCCGGAGGTTGGCACCAACACTGACAAAGCTACAAGGTGAGGCTAACGCTACTGGTGGGGATATAAATTGGTGCAACTTTTCTGTAGGGCAATCTGTTCTAAACTTAAAATGTGCAATTCATCTTGCAGGAATTTACTCTATGAGAAGACTTTGAGAAGCACACAAGCTTGTATAAAAGGGTTAGAGTCTGTATCACACAGTGGCTGGCTAGAGAATTAAAGGACCCCTGGGTAAGTTAGAGCATAAGCATACAACTCAAGGGTAGGAACCTGTAGAAACAGAAATGGGTATTTTCTGAAATAAAATACAATCACAACAAATTCTATTAAAAACAGGTTATGCAAATGTGTATGGATGATTAAATAGGCAACCAATTTGCTTTGTAAACTTTCATTCAAATTACAAGTTTAAAAACAGTACATACAGAACAAAACAGTACATACGGAATTTATGCAAAAAGGTCTAGATGAATATATGCACAGGAGAAAGTTTAGAGGGATGCGCCGAATCATTTATAATGATTATCCATGAGTAAGGGGATCCTAGGTTATTTACTTCCATCTTTCTGCACTATTTTTTTAGACAATGAACATGCATAGCTTTTTCTCTCAAAAAACAAAGGTATAATGCACACACACACACACACACACACACACACATATAAAAGCAATAAAGACAGGTAAGAACATGAAGAAATGCCAGGGGCCACTGAGGAACTGAAAAATAGATTCCTTCAACAAGTATTTAATGGATAGTCCTAAATTTAAGGCACTGCTTCAGGAGGCACATCCTGGAGACCATAATCATCCCACACATCTCAGGAAGGCCCCAACCAGGCCTACATTGGGTTCTATGCTCTGAATCTTAGCGAGAACATCAAAATAAGAAAAGGGATTGGAGGAGACTTACAAAAGCAAAAGATCTGAAGAAAGATGGCAACAGTGTAGAGAGAGAACATTACATTATCTTCATAAGCACTCACTACATGCCAGATACTACAAGATCATGTGAGTGAAGAGGAAGAATGAGTTAAATTAGAGGAAATGATCCAACATGATGAGGTGAGGACTCAGTGTTTCATAAAATTCAGACTATTTCTTTGAGCACTTTTGAGCTGAAGCACTTCCATAATAAGACTTTAGTAAGAGCTCACTAAACACTCCCATATAGTCTTCCCAATTGCTAGTTGAGAAAAGGGACTTGAGATTCCAAGAGGTAAAGGCTATCATGCTTGTTAACGGTGAAGTCATGATTTAAGTACAGCTTTGTTTCATAATAAAACCTGATCTCCAAATTTATTTAACTGACTCTTTCCTCTTTACTGTTGTTTAAACAAATAAAAAATATAGTCATTGTACAATAAAGTCATATGATACAGAAGTATAGCAAAGAGATGGAAGCAACCCAAATATGCGTTAACAAAAAAAATGGATAAAATAACTACCGTACATTCAATGGAATATTATGCAGCACTGAAAAACCATGAACTTGTCCAACATTAGAGAACATGGGGGAGCCTGGAGGACATTCTGCTGAGTAAAATGTCTCACTCACAAAAGTACAAACACTGGATAACACTGCTGTTATAAAATATGACAGACATGAAGGAGTTGGAGAGAGCATAGGCAAAGAGTGGATATATAATGAACACTGCATTAGAACTGATGAGGGGAAGAACTGTCTGAAAGAAAGGGATATATGATTAGGTATTATGTGTATGACAATGTGGAACAAGGGTGCACTGCAAGGTTGACTGAGAGTAGGGGGAAGAAAATATTCAACAATACAAAAAATTAGGCATCAGAAAGTTGGATGATGACTAGAGATGACAGAAGAATTGATGCCTTTGAGCTGTGGTGCTGAAGAAGAGTACTAAATATACCATGGACTATTAGAACAAATAGGTTTGTCCTGGAGAAAGTGAAAACAGATTGCTCCTTGGGAGCAAGGATTCTGAAGCTCTGTCTGACATACTTTGGGCATGTTGCAAGAAGGGACCAGTCCTTGGAGAGGGACAGCTCAAGAGAGGAAACCCTTGATGAGATGGACTGACTTGGTGACTTGGGTACTGGGAGTAGGTGTGTCAGAGACAATACGATTGGCTCAGGATAGAGGAGGTTTCAGAGCTGCTGTACATAAGGTCGCTATGAATCACAAGTGACTCGACGGCACATAACAAAACAACATATTAAAAAATAATACAGAAGAATAAACAAAGAGTAAGTTCTTCTTCTCCCAACACAGTTTGGTCTGTATCATTTTTACGCCTTTTTCTGTGCAAACATATATCCCACAATTATATATATATGAGAGAAAGAGAGATATTTTGATTGAGAAAAACTAAAAAAGTGAAGGAGCAGATCAAACATTTGCTATTTTTATAAAAACTGTTATAAATAATTATAAGTATTTTAGAACAACCTCATAGGGGTTTTTTGGGGGGTCTCACTTGTGGTATTGATAAATCATGACAGAATTTTGCTCTTATTGATGAATATGTGGTTACTTCTAATCACTACAAATAGAGGAGCTCTTCACATCTCATTTTTAATACCTGTGTGTGTTTTTCCTTAGGCCAGATTCCTGGAAGAATTTCTAGGTCAAAGAATAAGTGTGTTTTAAAATTTGGAAAGTAGCTAACCTGATCTTCAAAGGATTCTATTAATCCAAACTCTATCAGCATTATAAGATAGTAAGTCCTGAAGAGCAGTGGTGTCTCTCTGGAGACTAAGATGCGTCTGATACAGGCCATGATCTTCGCAATCACCTGTTATGCATCAGAGAGTTGGACAATGACCAAGGAGGATAGAAGAAGAATTGATGCCTTTGAGCTGTGGTGCTGGAGAAGAGTATTGAGAATACCATGGACTGCTAGGAAAACAAACAGATTTGTCCTGGAGAGGGTTAAACCTTCCAAGGAGGGTGGCTCCTTGGAGGCAAGGATTCTGAGGCTCCGTCTAACATACTTTGGACATGTTGTGAGGAGAGACAGGTCCTTGGAGAAGGACATCATGCTTGGGAGGGTGGAGGGACAGCAACAGCGCAGGAGAGGAAGGCCCTCTATGAGGTGGATTGATTCAGTGACTGGGATAACTGGGATGGGAGTGTCAGAGACAGTGCGATTGGCACAGGACAGAGCGGAGTTTAGGGCTGTTGTACACAGGGTCGCTATAAGTCGCAAGCGACTCGACGGCACATAACAACAACAACAACAAGCTGTTTCTTCACATTCTCACCAACACTTGGATTTTGAAAAAGGTTTCATTTTTCGCAGAGTAAAAATGACATGTTGTGGTTTGTTTTTTTAAAAGTAAAAAAGTAAAGATAGATTTATTAGAAAATTATATCCCCAAAGGAACAGATCTCCCTCCTTGAAAGGAAATAAAGAAAGGCCCCTTGTGGTTATTTTTAACTTTAATTTATTTATTTTTGTGTTAATGAGATTAAGTAACCTTCTATATATAGGTACTGATGATTTTGATTTCTTCCTTAGAAATAAAAGGACTGAACTGAGATTCTTCTCCCACTTATTTTTTTAATTGGTAAAATCTTGGAATCTGAAGGCTATTAATTATTTTCTACATATCCTAAATATTTTCCTCAGGCTCTTTATCTGTGATTTTTTTTTCATTACACAAGAAAGTTTCAGTTAGCTTTTCTAGTATTCTTTGACAACTACCTAGAAAATAGTTTAAAAAACAAGTTGGGGGCAGCTCTGGTAGTCTAGAGGCAAGAAGCTGTACTGCAATCCCAGAGATAGGTGGTTCAAATCCACCAGATCCTCTGCCGGAGGAGGGGCTGTACCAATCAGATCTGATTTGACGGTACACACACACACACACACACACACACAAATAATAAAATAAAATTTAAAAAAAACCAACAAAACAAGTAGGGGTTTTTTTGTGTTTTGTTTTTTTTTAAAGGGGGGGTTGTAGATAAAGGAAGAATAAGGTAAAGACTCTCCCAGGATAAATAGATATGTTCAAGTGCCACTCTCAATTTGTACACTTGGAAAAGTTAGTTATGTTATGCATAAGAGATTTGTTGTTGATTGCCTTTGAGTTGAGCATGACTCATAGCGACCCTTTGAACAAAAGGCCTGAAGGCCTCTACAACCATTGACATTTATCGAAGTTCATAGTTTCCAGAGTCATGGTTGTTTAGGACTAGGGTAGACTATTATGTACCAGATGACTTCTAGAAAACCATGCCACACCCAGGTAGTGGGGAGTACCTAAGCCTTTTGCCTAATTCCTGGCTGTAGTTTGTGGGTAGGTAGGAGGGTTTGATGGGAATCCCTGTAACCTCTAAGAGTAAGATGCCAGGACTGGCCACAGGTGTCAACAAAGTCTTCACCTCTAGTTTGGTGCCCCATAGATGTAAAGACCACTCTGAGCTCTCATGAGAACAGACTCCACTAAGCCTAAGAATACTCTGCCAAGTTGTACAGTATTACCTTGCCAGTCTTGAGTCAACATTCACCAACTGCACAACAAATTACAACACGTCGAAGTATAAAAATAGGACGCTGGCCTGTGTTCTCACAGATTTACAGGACGTTCAAAAATAGCACAGATAAAACCTCAGGGCTGATTATCTCGCTGGCTGCAAACAACTGCATTTGTACCTGGAGCGTCTCCAGGAGCCCCTGGGGACAGGTTTCCGGCTACTGCTTCCACAATGATCTCCATGTTCCCCGTGCCCTCTTCAGTTGTGGTGGCCTCTACGAGCAAACAGCCTGGCTCGGCAGGCAGAGGGGTGGGGCTCCCAGAAGGGCAGGGGCTCTGAACAGGCTCCAGGATTCCACGGTTGGAGAGAGGCTGAGGGATCAGCAATAGTTCAGAGCACAGTCTATCCATCTCCCCAGCGTTGCTGGTTGACTGTGATTCCAATATGGGGTCTGTCATCACCAATTTCAGGGCTCTCTCTGTCTCTCAAGCGCTGAGAAGGCAACCAGAAGAAAAACAAAAACAAAGATTTAGAGGTCTCACTTTCTTCCCAGGCAGTGTAGATATGCAGTCAGTGCTTGCCAATCTAGACAGTTCAAGCTGCATCTTATTGACCTTAAGAGAGATTTTCTTATTATGACTATAAGGGAACAAAACTAATAGAAATTATAATGCATAGGCCAATACTGGGAAAGAGCCAATAAATCCCCACCAAACTATTTAAATACCACCAGTTAGCCCATCAACAAACAAAATGGATAGAGAAGCTCTGGTATAGTCACACAATGGAACACTACGCTGCATTGAAAAGCAAGGGACTCATGAAATATGCAAAATGGATGACTCTGGAGGACATTATGCTGAGTGAAATATCTCCATCACAAAAGGACAAATACTGCATAGGGCCTCTGTTGTAAAACGGGACTGACATTGAGGTTGAGGGAAGACAGAGAAGGAGGGAGGAATGATGTATACCACATTGAAATAGATGAGGGAGAGAACTGTTTAAAAGGGATATATGATTGGGTATTAGTATCATGAGAGTTCAGAATGAAGGCAGCACAATGGAGTGGACTTGGGGGGAGGGACTGTATAACAATAAAAGAGTTTTTCTTTTACTTTGCAAGGAGAAGAGTGAATTGGGGGGCGCAGGTGGGCAGCAAGAAAAGTGCAACAATGAATGAATGGAAACCCTAAGTCTCTGTAAACTTTCATTAAATTAAATAAATACCACCAGTTAGGTTTCTTATTTCGCTGCTTAGCTTAGCTAAGTGAGTCATGAAGCAATTTAGGGCTGAGCTTTCTCCTGTGCAATAAAACTAGATGAAGTCTAAGGATCCTCAAAGTCCCCTTTCTTCTTAGCATTTTATAATTTGACTCTTTCTTATCATGGCTATTAGGTCCTTCAGGATGTGACCTCTTGACCTTTGCAGACTCATCTTCTACCTCTCAAGAGGTCTGAATCAATCCCATCAAACAACTGACCCTCCTTAAGACTCTTAAAATTTTCCATGCCTTTAGCCGGATGTTTATTTTCATATTCTCTTGTCTATCTGCTCTAACTCCTATTTATCCTTTAAGAATCTGCAGAAGGAGCTCTGGTGGCCTAGTGGCAAAAAGCTGCAATGCAATCCCAGAAGCACACTGTACGAATCCAACAGACGCACAGCTGTAGAAGAATGAGCAATCTCCTCTTGTACCAGTGGGATCCGATTTGATGATGTGTACACACACACACACACATTCCAAGAAAAGAAAAAAAAATAATCTGCACAAATGCAAATCGCTTCTACTATGAAGGCTTTTTAAGCTACGTTGCTCTCTCTCTTCAGTGGTAAGGTTTCCAAGTGGTTTCTTATATATTAAGACACTTTATACACAGTTGTTTTGAAGACCACATTACACTGTGCTGTTTTCCTACCAGTATCCTTTCTTATCCTAGTCGCTGAGCTTTTAAAGTGGCATAGTTTGTTTTTTGTTGGTGTGTTGTTGTTTTTTTTCCAGTGGGGCAGTGTCTCAGCTTTATAGATGGACACACGTGTGCACCCAGAGGAGGAAGAGCACAGAGAGGGCGCACCACACTGTCCTGTGTCCTCACCATTGCCATCCCTCACCACTGTCCCTTGTCCCCACTGCTGTAACCTTCACTGCCCCAGATTCGCACCACTGTCCCTACAGCTGTTCGGGTTTTTTTTCTTCTTCTCCAAATAGAGCCTCCTGACATCCCTAAACAAGAAGAGATCTGGTGGTGTAGTTACGCTACGAACAGAAAGGGTAATGGCTCAAATGCACCATCTGCTCCACAGTAGAGAGACGGATAGTCTTCTTCTGTCAGGATTTACAGTCTCTGAAATCAGAAGCAGGACGGCCATGACTTGGAATGGACTTGATGTAAGTGGGTTCTTATGACCAACTTATACAAGTCAGACAAATGAGATTCTGGTGATGAATTATAGAACTTTAGAGATGCATCAGATTAAAATGAGGCATCCAAGTGGATGCTTACATGTAAAGAAATAACATTTGCAGAAATCTCAAACTCATTGACTAGAGTCTGATCTCAAAGTGAACACTGGGACACAGCTGACAAATGCATGGCAGTTAAATTGCACATCCTGTTAGAAATGGTTAAAAGAGAGTAATTCATCATTTTGTAACTAACAAGAATAATGACAGGCGTGAAACTGCATTACGAAAAGTCAGTAAAGACCTTAAGCCAGGAAGCAATCAGGTGGCAGGTGAGCAGCAATAGGTATTAAAAAGTAACCTAGACCTGCAGTCTGATATTCCCTTTTCTCCAAAATCCTGCCACTCCAAATCTTGGATCACAGGTTAAGTGCCCTTCTGCAATAAAGGAATTCTCTGCAAACCACTCTACAGCTCAGAAAAGGGGAGACGATGGGATCTAGACAGAGAACCTTAATCTGCTGTAAAGCAAGGTGAGGTTGGAGACAGATGGGTCCAAGAGAAGAGACCAGGTTAAGAGAAAACACAAATGAAGGCAGTGAGAAAGCTCCTCTAGGGACCAAGGCACACTGACTTACCGCATGGCTTCAGGTAGACAGTCACCTGGTTTCTGGGGGCCCCGTTTTTCCACTTGTAAGGTGGAAATGATAACAGCATCCAAATTGTCCAGAAAGAGCTGGGATCACAAAAACCGATGAGAGGGAAAAGTGTTTTGTAACCTGCAAAGCTCGAGACAGAGCGTCACGACGTGTAAGGTGGAAATGATAACAGCATCCACATTGTCCAGAAAGAGCAGGGATCACAAAAACCGATGAGAGGGAAAAGTGTTTTGTAACCTGCAAAGCTCGAGACAGAGCGTCACGATTAAGGCTCTACGGAGGATGCAGGTACCCAAAAGCGGTCCAGAGCAGTGACAGATTGAGGCTCCGGGGCCGCGTTCCTCGGCGTGCTCCCTTCAGCACCTCCTCCCGGGCGTTCCCCCCACCCAGACCACCCGCTCATCCTCCGGTGTCAGAAAGTTTTGCCTCCGGCTCTTTCCACCCTCACTGTCCTGCAGTTCTCAGCCTGCGTTCGCACACTCACCTCCCGGCTCCCCGGCCGGCTGGAGCCGCATCTCTATGGTCGACCAGCGGCCGGAGCGGTCTCCCGGGGCTCGCTTTGTGCGACCGCCTCTGGCCCAGGCGCCTCTAGGACATAGGACGCCTGAGAGCCACTCTCTCTCCTCCTCGTCGGCGGGAGGGCTACTCTATGGTTTCCCCCCCCTTAGAGTTTCCCTTTCCTCCCCGCCCCTCGGCCCTGGGGCGCAAGGAGTACCATCGAGAGTTGTGGGGCAGAGAGGCATGGCCTTCTTGGTGGGTGTAGCGGGAAGTAAATGCGAGTCAGGGCGGGGTCGAGCGGCGCTTCCCTCAAGTACGAGGCCGTGAAACCAACGAGAGGGAAGGCCAGAGTGTCATGGAGGTAAGGGGGCGGAGTGAGGGGGGTCACTGCAAACCACGCGTCTGGACGCGCGAGCTTGGGGGATGGGGGGGATCCGGGGAGCGAGCTTGGGGCTTCTATCGTGGACCAAGTAAAGGAAGGGATGGCTTTATCTGCTGGCTCTTCATGCTTTAGAAATCTGTATCCTTTAGAAATCTGACTCCTAACTCAGAGCCTCAGCCGAGGTCACTGCTGTCAGCTCACTGTTCTGCAAGCCAGGTTCGAGGCAGAGTGACCAGGTGTGGGAGGCAGAAAAGATTTGGTACTTACCCCTCGGGTTCTTACAGCCTATCATTAGACCTGGTCACAATTTACTGGGAAGAATTCAGCAAATCCTTGTCATTCTGTGGATGAAGGAGCAAATGGGCAGGATTCTGTTTGGTGAGAACAGAGGGAATTAAAGACGAACGAATATATTCCAAATAGGGAGACCTGCAAGAGCAGGGAGATGGGAGGTTATTTGCATATGTTTTTGGACAAGGATCATGAGAAACTTAAGTCAGGAAAGGTAGGTGGGCACTGTATTGTGAGAGTCTTGTCTACTAAGCAGTTCGCACCTGATCCCGTGGTCTTTTAGGAACAATTCGAGATACTAGGGAGGTGTATCTGTATACAATAGCATACCTGTCCAAAGTCTGATGCTTATCGTAAAAATTTAGCGTTATTGTACATGTTGGACAATTAGCCCAATAATAAAGATTTGGCGTTAAGGGCCCAACTCATTACTTGTGGGAGGGACACCATTTTTCTAAAAAAACTACCTCTTTTGGGTCCTTCCATTGCTTTGACACTTCTCTGGGACTTGGGTTACTTTCCCCAATTTGGTGGAAGGTTCTAGTAGGATACACTAGGCCCTACCATCTGAGAACTTGTCAAAGGGAATAGAAGGCATTTAACTGTAGGTGGATGTCTGAGAGGCATGAACAGGAAGAACGGGAGCTAGAAGCAGGGTAACACTGGAATGGGGGTGATGGGAAGAAAGCTCTGTTCAGTACAGGGCTGTCACATAGGAGAGAGATGAATGTTCTGTTGTCTCTGGAGCTGGAAACAGTTAACAGAAATGACTCAATGGCTCTGTCTTTCAAGTGGCACCCCAGGGCACAGGCCATACCCACCATAACATCGATACACCTCTGAGTATTTGAGTCAAGTGCTAGAATTGGAGCTGATCCCATCTATGTAGAATTTTGGTGAAGCCTGAATAGAGACCAATTAAGAGATCAATTCAGTAAATAAAAGATAATGTAGATGGAAAAGAATACAAGTTCTAAATAGGACAGGTTATGAGGAAGCTCTGGTGACCTAGTAGTAAGAAGCTGTGCTGCAATCCCAAAGGCATGCAGCCCAAATGTACCAGTAGCTTCATGGAAGAAAGATGGGCAATCTCCTTCCGATTTATGACCTCTGAAAACCCACTGGAGGGTCAGCTATGAGTTGGTTCCAATGGCACATACCACCAACAACATGAGGAATTGGGTATGAAAGGGAGGATGTTTAAAGACCTTACTCAAAACAGCCATGTAAAAAAAAACAAACAAAAAAAACCAGCCATGTCATTGGAAGAATGTCATTTCCTTCCTGCTCACTTGAGGCATTGGGCCTCTGTGCCTTAGTTGGTCACAAAAAATCCTATCCTTCGATTGCACTGTTGTGAAGTAAAAGTTTTATTGTTTGTTCGACTTTACAGACTCGTCAGACACCATCCTCTGTCTGGAGACTGAGTTTGCACTTCAGGTTAATTAAGAACAAACTAGGCTGAGGGCTTGGAGTCTCAAATCTTGGACTCTTCGCATTCCAACCCCTTCCCACCCACCAAATGAGGGCGGGGAGCAGTGGACATAGGTCTGAGGACAAGGGATTGCTGACCTGTCCCCATAGGGGAGAGTGGGTCAGGTGTTATGGAATCCAGTTTCTATGCTAACCTTGACCTTTGTCCCATTTCCACTGCTCCCCACCTCTAGGTTCTGATAATGCTGCCAGGCCTGTAAGACTCCTTTCAAGATGCCCCTCTCGGACTTCATTCTGACTCTGAAGGACAATCCCTACTTTGGGGCTGGATTTGGGCTGGTAGGTGTGGGCACAGCCCTTGCCCTGGCCCGGAAGGGTGCCCAGCTGGGCATGGTGGCATTCCGGCGCCATTACATGATCACACTGGAAGTCCCCGCTCGAGACAGGAGCTATGGTTGGTTGCTAAGCTGGCTCACCCGCCACAGTACCCGAAGCCAGCACCTCAGTGTTGAGACTTCATACCTTCAGCATGAAAGTGGCCGTATCTCCACCAAGTTTGAATTTATTCCCAGTCCTGGAAACCATTTTATCTGGTAAGGCTGGGAACCAAGCAGGGCTCCATGAAAGCAGAAAAAGTGAAGGGAACAGGGTTTGACCCTTTTGGCCATTCTTATTTAGGTATCAGGGTAAATGGATAAGAGTGGAACGAAGTCGAGAGATGCAGATGGTAGACCTACAGACTGGCACTCCTTGGGAAACTGTCACCTTTACAGCCCTGGGCACCGACCGAAAGGTTTTCTTCAACATCTTGGAGGAAGGTTTGGATGGCACAGGGAGGGCTCTTTGTGGGGCTGCAGAGACTGGGGAATTTGACATTCAAGAGCCTTGGAAAGTCCATAAGTGCATGGAACCAGAAGTAGCTGTTCGGTACACCTCTTTGTCTAATTCAAGAATCAGCCATGGTCAAAGAAGAATCACTGACTTTGCCTCATCTCCCTTCTCCTAGCTCGAGCACTGGCCCTACAGCAGGAGGAAGGGAAGACGTTGATGTACACAGCTGTGGGCTCTGAATGGCGCCAGTTTGGCTACCCACGACGCCGGCGGCCACTGAGTTCTGTAGTTCTACAACAGGGTCTGGCTGACAGGATTCTCAGAGATGTCCGAGAATTCATTGATAACCCCAAGTGGTACACTGACCGAGGTGAGAAGCAGCTGGGGGTTTGAAGGGGCTGTTTTTGATGTGTTAGAAAAGGTGATAAGGGCGAGTAGAAAACTTTAGGCCCATTTCTAAAAATGAAGGGGAAAGAAAAATTGCCTACTGGATAATTTCTTCAACTTCAAGCCCATCAAGCCCAGAGCATAGCTGAGTTGGGAATGAATGTGGACATTTGGGAGAGAGAGAGATCATGATTCTGTGTAGGTCTTGATTATCCTGGCTATCTTCCCAGGCATTCCCTATAGACGTGGCTACCTGCTTTATGGGCCCCCCGGTTGTGGAAAGAGCAGTTTTATGTGAGTAGAGTAAAAATTCTCTTAACTTGGCAAAACTTGAGAAAAAAACCTGGGCTGATGGGGTTAGAAAAGCAACTTGGGAAAGAGAGTCCTGGGTCAATCTGGTAAGTGGACCGTCAAGAGTGGTTGGAGTGTTAGACTTCGCAGACACAACTTCCAGGACAGAAAGGGCATCTGGGCCTGAGCGAGAATTCCCAGGAGGCCCGCCACCCTGTCATCCCCTTGCCTGCCTCCGCAGCACGGCCCTGGCTGGGGAGCTGGAACACAGCATCTGCCTGCTGAGTCTCACTGACTCCAGCCTCTCTGATGACCGGCTCAACCACCTGCTGAGTGTGGCCCCACAGCAGAGCTTGGTGCTCCTGGAGGACGTGGATGCTGCTTTCCTCAGTCGGGACATAGCCGTGGAGAGTGAGTTTGGTGCTGGGTGAGACCCCACCAGCGGCACTGATTAAGCACCATTTCTGCATTAGTCTGGAAGGGGAGTGTGGAGGGAGGAGAACAATGTCTTCCAGTGTTTTGGCAAAACCTCAAATGCAAGGCCTTATGGCCAAGTGTCTGCAAATTCATATTGCTGGAAAAATTCATTATGCCCTTAGAGGTTGCGGCTCTCATGTTTGTAACAGCTGAACCCAGAAAGAAGGAACGTGCAGATTTCTACAGAAATTGTAATTCCATGAGGCTTGTGAGATGAGGAAAACTGCTGTCTTCTAATGTGCAAAGCAATTCTGGAATGTAAAGAATTTTCTGTGGATTGAGTTCCATAGACATCATTACTGACATGTTCTTGAACAATGAAACATGTCTGTGCAGGCCAAGGAATGGCTTAGTAAATAACCCCTGAACAATGACAGAAGGCATTGATAAGCTGGGAAGATGAAAGAACTGAGCCTTTTCAATAGAGCTGTGACCACTCTTCGTTGTCCCTACTTTCCTCCAGACCCAGTAAAGTACCAAGGTCTAGGTCGGCTCACGTTTAGTGGACTTCTCAATGCCTTGGATGGTGTGGCTTCCACAGAGGCACGCATCGTATTCATGACAACCAACCACGTTGACAGGTAAGGGCCCCGCAGCCTCCTTCCTTCAGAACGTCTGTAAGTTGTCTTTTGGGATGCTAGTGGAACTGGTGCCCATGACTTTTATTTTCCCTGCCTCCTCCTCTTAGGTTGGATCCTGCCCTGGTCCGTCCTGGACGAGTAGACCTAAAGGAGTATGTTGGCTACTGCTCACATTGGCAGCTGACCCAGATGTTCCAGAGGTTCTATCCAGGGCAAGCCCCTTCCTTAGCTGAAACCTTTGCAGAACATGTCCTTCAAACTACAACCCAGATCAGTCCTGCCCAGGTGCAGGGTTACTTCATGATGTATAAAAATGACCCTGAAGGGGCAGTCCACAATGTTGAGGCTTTGAAGAGGTGACCAGGGTGTCCAGATCTCTAAACTGAGGAAACCAATAAACACCTGCCATCCTCCAATCTCGGATGCCTCTCTTCCCTTAATTTTTTTTGGTACCTGAACAGAAAGCAGAGTTCAACTGCAGATCCCTACAGGAGGAAGCAGTCAGATGGGTAAATGCTTAACTACTCCATGAAGGTTTAAGGAGCTCTGATGGACTAGTGGGTCAGGAGTTGGGCAGCTAACTCAAAGGTTTGGATCCACCAGCTGCTTTGTGGGAGAGAAAAATGGGCCTTCTCTTGCCCTGCCATTTACTGCCTCTGAAAACCCACAGAGGGTCAGCTATGAATTGGTTCTAATTCAACAACACATTACCAACCACATCAAAGTTGTTTGAATCAACCCAGGGGGACCTCAGAAAATGTGGTCTGATGTTCTGTTCCTGAAAGGTTACAGCCTAGAAAGTCCTATGGAGCAGTTCTAAACGTGGGGTCACCATCAGTTGGAATGGATGCAGCAGGTAGTAACAAATGTTGAGGACAACATAAATTGGAGGAAGGTACTATTATAGTAAAGGGTAAAATGCATTCTTCCCTCAAAGGCATTAAAAAAATCCTGTGTGTTTAATATATTCCAGTTGACAAGTTGTTTCTGACTCATGTTGATGCTGCACTGGGTTTCTGAGGCTGTTAATCCTTAAAGGAGCAGACTGTCCATCTTTGTCCTGCAGAGCAACTAGTGTTAGGAATCTAACATCAACACTATGCCACTGAGGCTCCTTCATACAGAAATAACACATGGGTGAGTGGCGGTGTGGATTTTGAGCATTTGTACATTCTCCTCAAATGCTGACATCTCACTACCTTCTCTAAAACCCACCATTTGAGGCGCTGGACCCCTCCCTTGATCCAGACCATGACCTCTCAGAACAGGCTTCAGAGCAGTTTGGAGTACTGCCCACCCGAGTTAGATAAAGAACAGTATTCTACAGGGTGAGCGCTGCTGAGCACAAGAAGCCCAAGGCTAAATGTCTTTATTGTTTCCCTTCCCACCCCAAATCCCCCCGTCCCCCCAACAGTACTGCTAGGAACCATCCTCAGGTTCCAAGCCAAGGTGTTCTCTTCGACCACCAGGCCTGTACACTCCCCGACCCCGAGGCAGGCGGGGGTAGGAGGAACCTGGGGTCCGACCTCTGGACCGTTCCCAGCGAGCACAGTCCCGAGTCCTGCGGGGCTGGGGGCCCTGCCGAGTGCCAGGTCCCTTCTCTTGGGGAGAACCTTGAACCCCTTTGTTCAAGGGGTTCTTGAAAGGCCCCTCAGGAGGGGGCAGTTCCTGAGAACAGCTGGTACTTTTGAGAGCACAGGACTCCTTGCAGGGCCCCTCAGGGGGAGGCAGTTCCTGAGCGCAGTTGGTACTTTTGGGAGCACAGGACTCCCCTCCCTTCGGGTGCTGCTGCTTGGGCAGTCGCCAGGGATCTCTACGAGCCCGAGAAGGATCTGGCATTGTTTTCTTGCCCAACTTCTGATTGGGCCCAGCCCCTGCAGTCTTCTCTTTTGTGTGTTGAGAGGCCACAGGAAGAAGAGTTGATAGGGTGGGTTGGGCAGCTGATGAGGTGGACAGTTCTGTGGTAAGGGCACCGGGTGGGTGGGATCCTCCAGAGACATCTACAGCTGATTCAGGTTCCAAAGGGGCAGGAGTCTAGAAAAAAGCAGTGGAGGAGATGCAGGTCCTGCAGAGCAGGAACGGCACACCATCTCCCACTATCTGAGCCAGCCATCATCCTGTAAGCAATGCACCTACAACACTGCCTTGTGTTGGGAGCACTAGGGCCAGGATGAGGGGGGAAGATGGCATATAGACAGGGTGGGGAACCGTCCTCTCACCTGCTGGAGGCTAATGAAGAACCGGTTACGCTCAGCCTCAAGGTCAATGATGCCACCTCGTTCCTGCTGCCTCTGGTAGAGCCGCTTACGCTCTTCTTGTTGGCGCAAGCTCTCTGCATCAGGCTGGTACAGCTCCTGGAGGGAAGGAACGATCGCAGGGAGGAGGGAATAAACAGGAGAAGGCAGGCTCGAACCCATGCTCTTGCAGGACTGCTGCAGGTGGTCTGCAACAGGCTCTTGATTTGGCCCTTCAGACTCCAGCTTCTAGTCTGTAGCCTCAAGCTCCCAATGGAGGGTGGCAGCTCTACAGAGAGGCTTCAGGCCGGCCAAACTCAATTCTGGAGATCCCATTCAGGGCTGTAAGATGTCATTCCCCTTTCCTGAAGAATGCTGCTATTCATAAAGAGTTCCCTTACCATAGGCTGCTGGGGTTCAGGAGCTGCTTCCAGTGTGGCAAGATCGTACACAAGGGGCTCTCTGCACACTGGACATTGCACACCAACTGCCTCCTAAAAAAAAATCCCCCCAAATGAGAAATCACACCCTGCCTGACCAGCCAGCTAGCCTACTCTACAGAGGACTAGAGCTATCTGTTTAGTGAATGACAAAGCAGGATGGCACAAGGGGTGGACTAGGGGTCTGGGAATTCTCTAAAAGTGCAAGCCACAGAAGTGTGTGGAAATCACCCTTTCCTGAGCAGAGGTGAGCTTGCATTAATCTCCATCTGAAGACATAGCTGGTGAGTTGGTTCTGATGTGATATGGACCTACAGGGCAGAGCAAAACTGCGCCCCACCCTCATTTCCTAAGGCTGTAACTCATTCAGGAAGCAGACTGCCACAGCTTTCTCTTAGTGGTGAGTGAGTTCAAACTGCCAACCTTCGGGTTGGTAGCTGAACACTTGACCACTGTGCTACAAGAGCTCTTTCCAAGGTTATTAAAATACCAAAAAAAAACAACACAACACCTCAACTCCAACTCACTGCTGTTGAATGGGAACCAACTCACAGCTGACAGTGGAATTTCAGGGGCTGTATCAGATCATATGGAGGACACTGCCCAGCCTCTCATGGAGCTACTGGTGGATTCGAACTGGCAAGAAAGGTGTGCCTTTGGGTTAGTAGTGCAACTCCCTACAGACTACAGAAGTGAATGGGCAGAAAGGATTATGAAAGTCAGCAACCAAGGAGGTCGGGGGAACGGGGCAGGTGGAGTCTACCTGTCGGGTTGTCGCATGCTGCCGTTCCTCCTCCTGCTCTTGGGCTTTCAGCTCTTGCTCCATGTGCTGGATGTACCGAGCAAGACAGTGGCAGTGGAAGTAGTGGTAACAGGGTGTTTTGGTAAAGGCCTCCTTCTCCTGGAGGGAGGGGGAGATGCAGGGCTTTGGGCCAGAGCTCTTTACTAGCCCTCCACTCCCCATCCCAAGCAGACACCTGGGGACTAAGAGAAAAACCCACCTGGAAACCATACAGGCAGATGACACAGTGGCCGTGGGGAATGTTGTTATCGGTGAGAATTTCTTTCCCTTTCTGAGGGGAGAGAAGACATTGCTACAAGCCAGGCCTGTAAACTACTCCTGGGAGTGAGAGGCCTGCCGTCTCCAAGCACTTGTGTGTTTCTGCATTTGTCTGGTGATACGCCCTCTACTTAGAACAAGTCCTCCATATCCCCACCTCTCCCTCCAATGTGATCTTCCTGGTTTCCAAGGCCAATTGTTCTTCTCATTGAGTCACTTAAAGTTTATCTTGGAGATGAAATATTTCTTCAAGTGAATGACAGCAAGTGCAATTAAAACCCTTATCTTTTGGGAAGCCTTTCTTGTTTAGTCCCCTTTGAGTATCACTCCCTCATAGAGCAATGAATTTGGTTTGGAAATTGCTTTCAGGAAGTCAAGGCATAGATAGCTCCACTGGGCTAGTCTATGAAATGAGTCTACACTGTTACTTGAACAGCCAATCTAAAATCCCAACAAGTTTAAAGCTGTACTGTGGCTTGACTTAGCAATGCTATAGTGGTCTATACTAAGTCTACCTCCTAGAAAAAGAATATCATGATTGATAAAGTAGATCAACAGAAACAAAGGAAATCCTCAATGAGATGGATCAACACAATAGCTCCAACAATGGGCTCAAATACAGCCATAACTGTGAGGCTACACCAAGCAACATGCAGTTGTTACACACAGGATTACCGAGTTAGAGCAATTTGAGGGCAACTAACAACTAACTTTTCAAACCACCCACTTTCACTCAATTCCAAACGCTTTTTCCTTCAATTCAATCCACAGGAAACTGGATTGTACTTAATTGTGTGTCTTAAATCTGAACCAATATTAACTTGCAGTTCTAGCAGGTGTTTCTTTTAACCAGGGTGTTGACTCTGAGTCATGACTTGTTTTATTCACCCCCAATGGCTAACTAGACTTCAAGAGTTCAAGTATTACTGACAAAGAAACTTCTCCTGACCCAGCTTCCTGTCCCTTGCCACTTGCAGATGGCAGCATGAAAAGAGAAAATGCACTGAAGATGAAGCAACAGAAACTGCAAGTTAAAGAGCAAAGGAGTTTTTTTTCAAGAGACTGGAATAGGGAATTTTAGGAAACTATAGAAACTATTCTTGGGGCGATTCCTTAAAATAGAAGTGCCTACCTAATTTTTCTGGATTAACTTATGGTTTACCTAAACAATGAACTCTATGACTAGTCCCTGGGTGGTACAAACTGTTACCAGAGAGATGAGTCTACCCAGAGGCACCTCTGAAGAAAGGTACAGTGCTCTACTTCAGAAAATCCAGGCATTGACACCCAGATGGAGCACGGTTCCACTAACACACACACGGGACTGCCAGGAGTTGGAGTCAACTTGGCAACAACTGGCTGGTATCTAAACAATGAAGTGAAGTGACAGTTATGTTTAAAATTCTAATCCCCTGGCTTCCCTTGGGAGTGTGCTTTACACCTTGGCAAGGCCATTTTCCCAGGTTATAGAACAGCACCATCTTACCTCAATGAGTTCATAGAGCATGGCGGTGCCCAGACTGGCCTTGGCCACATGGCTCAGCGTCTGGGTGATCCTGGAGGAAACACAGGAAGCCAAACATCAGGCCTGCCCACTCTCCTCTCCAGGTACTTGTGTCGTGAGTTTCACCCCAACTTACGTGTGGATCTGTTCATCTGAGAGTCCTCGGGGGTTACGGATAGAAATCTGTGGCACTTCATTGGGATACTAGTAGAGGAAATAGTAGGTTACCACTGATGTGATCCACCTCGGGTCCTCTCCCCTCCCTCCCTTTGCTGCTACACACTAGGGGCCTCACCTCTGCTGGGACCTGAAGCACCAGAGTGAAGCAGACGTATTGTGAGTCTTGGTCCTCTGCAGTAGCAGGGTGGAGGGTTATATAAATTTCCCATGAAGATCTGCAGGTGGATGAAGTAGAGATTGGGATGTGATTAGGCAGAGATTTGAGGGTTAGGGACAATGGGATGACAGTAAAAGGACAGAGGAAATGAGCACTGGTTTCTATCTCTTAGGAGAAGAAAAAAAAACTCCAGCCTTTGTCATCATGAGAGAAATAGCTTTGAATCAGGCCTCACAGGGATTTAAGATCAGACTTTTATTAAAAAGACTTTTGCCCACCCCTAGTCACTTACCTTTCATTTCCTTTAACCACCTGTAATTCATCCAGATAGATAGACTCTAACACTTCAATTTCAGAGGGAAGGACCCTAGAGAAATGCAGAGAGTGAGTGGCTTAACATCAGAGTTCTCCCTTTTGAAACCTGTTTAGGCCAATGAAGGCTGACGTTGTGAAATGACCAGGCAGGCGCATGGAATCAAGAATTTCAGAGATTTGTCAAACAGAGAAAATAGATTCCCAAAGAAGGAAATGACAAAACCAAATATTGAGGCTTAAGATGCAGAATTCGGAGCAGCCTGATTTTCAGATTTTCCACGGCTGGTAGTCACTCAACAGACATTATCCTGATCTAGAAACATGGTATCTCTTCATCAGCATCAAAGTGAGTAACACTAACTTTGTAGTACTGGCTATTCCCACGTTGTTCCCTGTTCTGTGTGGGACCCAGGCAGTGTTGGGGCTATTTTGTATACACACTGACAATGCCAGTCATCCTACAGTTTCTCAGAGAAGACAGTAACCTGAATAGAACTAGGTGGTATAAAGGCTTTGTTGAAGTAGAAGAGCCATATGCTTCTAACAATATGGGCCACAAGTTTATGTCCCTTTTCCTGCTTGTACATTATTTTCTCCATTATGATGAAAGACAGAAGGATCTAATTAGTATAGTATTCTGGATATATTTGAAACCATGCCTATCTGGTTGATCTTGTATCAAGCTGTCCAAGGGCCCAATGGTTCTTTTGTAAATCAGAAGATAAATACACTTGGTCACAAATGGCAGTTATGACAGTGAAAATATGTGACTGTTAAAGAGTCCACAGCTCCTTCCAGGGACTATGTGAAATAAGCACTCTGCTTGCTTTCCAATAGTTAAAAGCACCGTCCCCTCTTCATCAACAGAAGGGTTCTTCTACTGTGGCCTCTGTATTTGGGGTCCTTGGTATTTTTCTTCTAGTCTTAGACAATTCCCCAAACCAAATCTTTTATTGTCAAATCCATTCTGACTCATAACAACTCTACAGAACAGAGTTTAACTGCCTCATAGTGTCTCTAAGGCTATAAATATTGACTGGAGCAGAGTGCCACATCTTTCTCCTCAGAGTGGCTAGTGGGTTTGAACTGCTAGACTTCTGGTTAGCAGCCAAGAACTTAACCACTGCACCACCATGTATCATCAGACTTTGGCAGAAACTTCAAAACATAAATCAGAGTGGAGGAGTGTTGGTTGACAAGGGAGTGGGATGCTCATGGCAGTACGGAAAAGTTGCCATCTCCATGTCCTAAGGAGTAAGATAATCTTAAAAGTCTCCCTGAATAGTTTCAAGCCACCAGCTTAGTCTTAGTTAAGACCAGCACTGGCTGGGCTGGCTAAGCCAATGACACCTGCGCTACCATCTGAGTTAGGAGCCTCATCAATACTTCACCCCCTGTAGCTTTGATCCCAACGCTGGATGACAGGAATGGAGCAGGATGGTGGCTTAAAAAGAGCTGTAGCAAGCCCTATTATTAACAGATTTAAGAGTTGGAATCAGAGAGACATAGATTCCTCAATACAAACATTCACCTTTCATCAAAATTACCTCTTGGGGACGCAGCTATTCTTTTTAACTGTCTAAACCCCAAAGATCTTAATGAAAAGTCTTATGTATGTTAAAAATACAACCTGATCCTCTCTGATTCTCTGAAGTAGATGCCACTCCTACCTCTCCGTACAGCTGAGGACAGTGACTCACAGGAGCTAAGTGGCCAGATCAGCATCACATAGCTAGTAAAATGCCAAGTGAAGCCATATGTACCGTGTTTCCAAATTCCAGAGTCCTTCCAGGCGCTATTCTTTTGGATGGGAATGTTTGAGAGAAGGACTAAGAGAGCTTTTTGTGAAGTGCAAAGCTTGATTCAGTTCCCACTTACTTATAGCCATAACTAGTGCTGTACAAAGTAGAAGGTTGAAGAAGGCTAAGGCACAAACAGGCTGATGCAAGAGAGGAAGCGAGATGAAGCACAGGTGAGGTGGGGAGGGCTGACGAGCAGGCATCTTACTGACCCCTGAGCAAACGTGTTTCAGGAGGGGACTCTGTGGCTGGAGGGACCGAAGCGGCCTGACCCGCAGCCTGTCTCCATCGGCTCCCACCGGCGCCCTGCCACCCACCCGCGTCCCAGTCCAGAAGCCTCCCGGGGAGAAGACCGTCAACTCCCTGTCCACCCGCACGCCGCGGCTGGCCCTTTAGCGGCGCCGGTAGCCCCTAGGACAGGAGCCAGACGGCCACCAAAGCCCACGCCCCGAAGTTACCAATACTCCTCCCCAGCAGGGCCGGCCGCCGCCGCCATGTCTTCCCCGGCGCCGGAAGCGGAAGTGCTCTGGGCGCTCGGAGGCGGAAACCGGAGAGCGAGCGGGAGGACAGCCTCAAGCCGTCTCCAGGCAACCGCGGACTCCGGGTCCTCCTTGGGGCTTCCGCTCCAGAGACGGTTCCAAGTCCCCTAGCAAGTTCCTCTGGGCGACCCACCGTCTCGCCCACACAGGTGACTGCCCTCCCCGTCCTCCGCGCTTCTGTCCAGAAAAGTACTCTTAACTTCTAGAGAGTAAAGCTGGTGAGAAAGGGAGTCCAAAGACTGCGCAGTGCAGGTGGAATGCAGTTTTAAATCGGGCAGCTAGCAAGGGCCGGATGAAGGCCGTCGTTCCTCAGCCAGAGGAGCTTGCAGCACCTGGGCTTGGGGCGAGAGGAGCTCGGGCCTTTGAGGTGCGTGGACAAAGGGTTTTGAAGAGGTTGGGAGCAGCAGGAGCCTGCGGGAGGTTGGCACCGGGGCGAGGGGGCGAGGCTGGTGGAGGGGGCGGGGTTGGGGAGGTGGGCGGGGTCTAGTGTGCCTTGCGGGGTTGGAAAGTGGTGAAGGGTGCGATTGGGGTCGGGTTGGTGAGGTTGGATCCGGGGAGTTGGAGTCTAGTGGGTATATATCGTTAGATATAGGGGGTTATGGGGGATGCTAGCGTCGGGGGTCAGAGGAAACTAGAAAGGAGGAAGAGCTCCAAGAGGCTCTCACCCTTCATTCTTCCATCCACTCTCTTTTCATATTTTTGAAGACTGGATTATTATGAAACAGAGGAAGGGCAAGGTGGCTGACATTGATCCTTTTCCCATGCCCATCCCAGGCCTTCCAGATGTGCGGAGCTGTCCCTGGAGCGGTAACCCTTCACCACCACCTCCAGCCCCTTCCTTTGGGGGGATCCTGAGACACCTGTCATGGAGAAGTACCACGTGTTGGAGATGATTGGAGAAGGCTCTTTTGGGAGGGTGTACAAGGGTCGAAGAAAGTACAGTGCTCAGGTGCTGAACAAAGAGGGATGTCTTTTGGGTGGGATTCTGCTCCCCAAACTCCCAAGAGGTGCACCAATGGAAAATGGGACCAGAAAGAACGCACTCATCCCAACCTATATTCCTGAGTCTCTGACTTCTTCATCTATCTCCTGGAGCATGAGCTCTGGGGTTAGATCACTTAGATTAGATTCTAGATTTAGAGCTATGGACAAGTTACTTAATCTCTCCATGCCTGTTTCCTTACTATAGAATAAAAAGAAGCACATTTGCTTGATGGTGATCAATACTATATATGATAAATCACAATAAATAATACAAAGATGCCTGGCATCTAGTGAACAATAAGTAAAAATTGTTTGTTTTTAGGTGCTGTAAAGTATAAACCACAGATCTGAACCTTGTCATATCTTGTACCATCCTCACATTTCCTGGCTTACTAGAGCCCATTGCGGCAGTCACTGTGTTAGATCACCTGCATTAAACATTGTTGTTATGCATTGTCTAGTCACCTACAACTCTGTGACCCTATGTACAACAGCTCTGAACTCTGCTATATCCTGAGCTAATCTTACTGTCTCTGACATCCCTACCCCCATTACCCTGGTCACTGAGTCAACCAGATATTATTATTTGTCGTATTATGCAGGAAGACATGAATTGCTTTCCATTTTCTTTTTCCTTCTTCCCCCCACCCCTAAGTTTCATGAATCACCCTGAGTCATTTTACCAGGTCAGAATACCACCCCCAACATCCACCTTTTTTTTCTAGATGATCTCCAAAGTGGCCAAAGGTTCTGTCTGGTAGATAGCATCTCTTCCTGGGGATAGGGTTGAGGGAGGCCTGGGTAAGGTCAGCGTACCCCAAAGAAAATGAAGGAGATAAGTAGATATAATGAGAGTTGCTGAAACTCTAAAGGCAGTGTCCTGGAACTCTGAGGCTAATGTTGAAGATCTAGCCATTGATTGTTTACCTCATCACTGACAGATTGTGGCCCTGAAATTCATTCCAAAACTGGGACGCTCAGAGAAGGAGCTGAGGAACCTGCAGCGAGAGATTGAAATCATGCGTGGTCTGCGACATCCCAACATTGTGCATATGCTTGACAGCTTTGAGACTGACAAAGAGGTTTGGGTCACCTCCTCCCAGCACAGGGTCTTGGGGAATTTTCCCATCTCAGAATGCTTGAATCTGGAGCCATTCATGCTATTGCCTTTTCCCTGCAGGTGGTGGTGGTTACAGACTATGCGGAGGGTGAACTCTTTCAGATCCTTGAAGATGATGGGAAACTTCCCGAAGACCAGGTATAGTTTCTGACTCAAACTTCTTCCTGCCTCAACCTCTTTTTTTTTTTAAATTATTACTAAATTTAATGTTTACGGAGACTGGATTTCCGTTCATTCATTGTTACATTTTTCTCCCTGCCCACCTCCCACCCACAATTCGCTCTTCTTATTGAAAAGTAAAAGAAAAATTCTTTCATTGTTATACAATCCCTCCCCCCAAGTCCACTCTGCTATGCAGCCTTCATTCTGGACTCCTGTCATGACAATAATACCTAATCACATATGCCTTTTAAACAGTTCTCTCCTTCATCTGTTTCAATGCAGTATACATTATTTATCCCCTCTTTCTCAGTCTCCCCTTAACCCTGATGCCAGTCCTGTTTTTTACAACAGTGGCACTATGCTGCAGTATTTGTCCTTTTGTGACTGAGATATCTCACTCAGTATAATGTCCTCCAGCGTCACCCATTTTAAATAATATTTTATGAGTTTCTTGATTTTTAATGTGGCACAGTATTCCATTGTGTGACTGTGCTATCCCATTTGTTTGTTGATGGACACTTAGGTTGTTTCCAACTCTTTACTGTTGTGAACAAAGCTGCAGTAAACATGGGTGTGCATGCCCCAACCTCTTTTTAGATCAAAGACTGATAGGTAAGCTGAAGGTACTGAAAGTCTCTATTTTCAAGATTTCCTGAAAAGAACGCAAGAGAGTCTAGGTGTAGATAGACCATGTAATGTGAGAGTACAGTATGTGAATATTGAAACCAAAATATCTAGATGTAAAGCTTGGCTCTGCTAACTTCTTAGCTGAGTCCCCTTGATCCGATTACTTAACCTCTTTCTAATTCAGTCTATTTGTAAAACGGGGATAACAATAATAATATATAATAAGGCTATTCAAAGGATAATGAGGGAGCTCTTTTGGCCTAGTGGCAAGAAGCTGTTCTGCAATCCCAAAGGCATGAGGTTCAAATCCACCAGTTCTGCAAGAGAAAAATGGTCATTCTCTTCCTGTGCGATTAACAGCTTCTGAAAACCCACCAGAGAGTCAGCTATGGGTTCATTCCAAGTCGATGGAACACAACAACAAGAAGGACTAATGAATTTGTTGTTGTTGTTAGGTGCCATCAAGTCTCCTTCTGTGTGACTCATAGTGATCCTATGTACAGCAGCTCTGAAGACTGCCCTATCCTGAGATGGGCTCACTAACTCTGATACACCTACCCCTGTTGCCCTAGTTCCTCTATCAATCCATCTCATCCAAGGCCTTCCTCTCCTGTGGGCCACATGGGAACAGCCATATCGGATCCTTACTAATTTCACAAAAGGGAAGTGTCCTCATCAACAGCATCAGCAACGCAAAACCAATTTCCATGAGGTCAGACATGTCTCCCACACTTCCCTACCTCTTTTTACTCAACTCAATATCAATCTTACTGCTTTATTGGGTCCAGAATCCAATGTGATATCTCACAGACCACACGGAACCATATTGGGGAAGTTAAAAATTTATACTCCAGGTTAGGAGCAGAATTCAGTCAGGATAGCTTCCAAAATGTGTTCGCAGGCACCTCAGCCTTGAGCCTGGCAGCTTACGGCCAGTGTTAAAGAATTCTCAATCCTGACAATATTGGCTTCCTTCCTCACCCCCACCCCCACCTCAGTTGTCCAATAGCCTTGGTAAAAGCTCTTATCTTAGCTCTGGTTCTGTTCATGGGGAGGGAGGTAGCAGTAAACTTTATGTTATGTCAGGTCTTTCTGGTCCTCTATTTAGTCTGTGGCTTCTGCTGCTGTAGATTTAGCTGGAGCAAGCATTTCTGGACCCAAAGGACTTGTTGCATTCTCTTGCCTTTTTGATGGTGGGAAAGTTCTCTCTCTGCTTTGTATACACTCAATTTAGTGGCAAGGCTAGCCAATTCCTTTATAGATAGGCTAACACACCCTGTTTGCATATTCCTTTCCATCCATGTGGCAGAGCCAAAATTCAGTGGCTAGGGAAGGTATCTTGAATAATAAACTCCACAGCGTATATAAAATACTTAAAAGAGTGCCAGACACATAGTGTTTAGCAAAGTTAGATATTATAATTAATGAGGTGTCATTCTCAGACATGTTTAGGGAAGAAGGGCCAGTATGGTGGTACCTCAGAGGGCAGTAGGGCTGTGGTCAGGCAGAATTTGCAAGCAGGATTAAGACTATCTCTCTGTCCATGCAAGTAGGCCTCACTATTGCAACAGCACTGTTTCTGTCTGGACATTGATCATGATTTGTAATCATCTCATTCATTTGCTTATTGTTTGCCTGACTGCCACTTTGGAGTGCTGAAACTTGTCTCATTTAATGAGAGCTAAAGTGAAAGTAGTCCCAGTTGAATAGTGGTTAAGCATTGTGTTACTAAGAAAGAGTTTGGAGGTTTGAACCCACCAGTCACTCTACAGAAGAAAGATGTGACAGCCTGCTTCCATAAAGATTACAGCCTTGGGACCTTTGTGGAGCAGTTCAACTCTGCCTTACAATGTTCCTGTGAGTTGGAGTTCACTCAGAGGCAATGGACAATGTATACAATGGACAGCGTATATAGCAGACAGGGTATACAATGGACAGGGTATGCTAAATGCTTTCTAATTGCCAGGCACCATTCTGAGCACTGCTGTGTGAGCATTTAATCTTCACAGTAACTCTGTGAGGCAGATAGAATCATTACTGTTGCTTTATAAGTGAAGAATCTGAGAATTTGACCATGGTCGCACAATTAGTAGATGACACTGAGTAAGTTTTCCCTGAAACAGTGAGCAAACGAAACAGTGAATAAGGGGAGCAAAAAGTAAGGAAGATCAAATGTAAAGCTCTAGAAAAAAGAGAAGGAAGTAAAGATCACAGCAGTTGGATTAGGGAGGAGTCCAGACTGTCCTGCAGGTGACTTCTTACCTTTCCTGTCTTCCTCCTGCCTGACTGCTGGCCCCTAGGTTCAGGCCATTGCTGCCCAGTTGGTGTCAGCCCTGTACTACCTGCATTCTCACCGAATCCTGCACCGAGACATGAAGCCTCAGAACATCCTCCTTGCCAAGGGTGGTGGCATCAAGCTCTGTGACTTCGGGTAAGTTCCCAAGTTTTCATCTATGTGTGCAGTTCTGTAGGAGGTCTTAAACCATATGCTTGAGTTGAGTCTCATTTTAGATCCTGAACTGAAAACTGGAATTCCTGATGCATATTTTTTTAATGTAAATTCAAAATTTTATTTAGAACATAATCTCTGTAACACATTAAATTGATCCTACCCAGAAGTCTGAGTCAAGAGACCCATTTTAGAAGACATTACCAAAGGTGCTTTTTCTGCTCACGCAGTAGATGGTTCTTGATGGGGTCTAGGTTTTTTTTGGTTCGTTTTTCTTTTTTTAATTTTCTATGTGTATGTGTACCATCAATTCAGATCCGACTTGTACAGGAGGAGATTGCCCCTCCTTCTCCAGCAGAGCATCTGGTGAATTTGAACTGCATGCCTTGGGTCTAATTTTTATTGACTGTATTCTATCTTTCCATTTCCACACTCTCATCTTCAGGTTTGCCCGGGCTATGAGCACCAACACGATGGTGCTGACATCCATTAAAGGCACGCCACTCTACATGTCTCCAGAGCTGGTGGAGGAGCGACCGTATGACCACACTGCAGACCTCTGGTCTGTGGGCTGCATCCTGTATGAGCTGGCGGTGGGCACCCCACCCTTCTATACCACAAGCATCTTTGAGCTGGTCAGCCTCATTCTTAAGGACCCTGTGCGCTGGCCTTCCACCATGAGCCCTTGTTTCAAGGTAACGAATATAAAAAGAGGGATTGCATTTGCTTCAGAAATAGGGTTTCTTCTGCCCTCATGCCATTTAACAAAATTATTTTCCAGAGCTGGGGAAAGATATTGTATTTATCACAAACTATTGCATGAACTTGACTTAAGCAGCCTTTTCTACTGCAGTGGTTTACCTGGGAAGATGTTATAAGGTTTACAGTATTAGGGAATGGTCAGGCTGTTCTTTATCACAATGAAATATAATAGAAAGATATCAGAAACAGACACTGATCCCTTCATATGCCCTCTGTAATTATCTTTTCATATGCCATGTATTTACTGTGCGATAAAATGATAATTAGATTTTCAGCCCTCTGCTTGAAAGAAGGAATCTTTAAATACCTACATGGTAGGAATGGGCAAGGTGATTCAATGATTAGGGCAGGTGGTGGAGCACCTCTTCTGGTTGGGGGAGGAAGAGGAGGATTGCCTCAGTATAACCTTCTAAAATGCCAACAACAAAGTGCTGTATCATTATATCTCTTTTGCTTTATCTAAGATAAAAAGGGAGTTTTGGTGGCCTAATGGATCAGGAACACAAAGACATGCAGTGTGAGTCTATCAGCTGCTCCACGGGAGACAGATGGGCAGTCTCCTCTCATGAGATTCTGAAAACCAGCTTGAGGGTCAGCTGTGAGTGATTTCTGCCTCTACATCACATAACAGCAGCAATAACAAGATAAAAAGCTCCTCCCCAACCTAGTGGGTTTTTAAAAAAATAAAAAATTAATGTGCCATCCAAAAGATTCAGACTCACAGAGCCCCTTCATTGGGTCTCTGAAGCTGTAAATCTTTGCAGAAAATTGCTTATCACTTTCTCTCACAGGGCTCTCAGTGGATTCTAGCTGCTAGATTTTTGGTTAGCAGCCTCATACCTTGTCTGTTGTTCGTCAGGGCTCCAGCTTACTTTACTCAAACTCACTGGTTGTGTCAGTTCTGATGCATAGCAACCCTCGATTGGATTTCTGAGGCTGTAAGTTTTTATAGGAGGATACTCTGCACTCTTCTGCTGAGGAGCAGCTGGTAGATTTGAACTGCTGACCGGATACATACACACTCAATGTCAAGCAGACAAAGATTTTTTAAAAAAAAGACAAAGAGTCTCACCACTGAACCAATTGGCAGCATCAGGATAGATGGTGAAGAGATTGAGACTGTTCACAGCTTTAGTTTGTTTAGTTTGCTTGGCTCCACAGTCAACACTCTCAGCACCAGCAGCCGGGAAATTAGAAGACATATTGCCATGGGAAAGTCTGCTGTTAGGGACCTCTCCAAAGTACTGAAGAACAATGGTGTCTCTCTGAAGACTCAGGTGCGACTGATACAGGCCATGATCTTTGCTATCACTTGTTATGCATCAGAGAGTTGGACAGTGACTAAGGAGGATAGAAGGAGAATTGATGCCTTTGAGCTGTTTTGCTGGCGAAGAGTATTGAGAGTACCATGGACTGCTAGAAAAAACAGGTGCATCCTGGAGAGGGCGGAACCAGGCTGCCCCTTGAAGGCAAGGATTCTGAGGCTCCGTTTAACATACTTTGGACATGTTGTAAGGAGGGACTGGTCCTTGGAGAGGGACATCATACTTGGTAGGGTGGAGGGACAGCTCAGGAGGGGAAGGCCCTCTATGAGGTGGATTGATTCAGTGACTGGGATAATCGGGATGGGTGTATCAGAGACAGTGCGATTGACACAGGACAGAGCAGAGTTTAGGGCTGTTGTACATAGGGTTGCTATGAGTCACAAGCGACTCGGCAGCACATAACAACAACCACCACCACCCAGTTGGAACCAACTTGTAGTTGACCCTCCAGCAAGTATTCAGAGGCTGTAAATCACATGGGAGGAGATTGTCTATTGTTTTTGTGTGGAGCAGCTGGTGGATTTTAATCACGTGCATTTGATTTTGCAGCTCAACTCTCTACCCGGCCACCAAAACTCCTTGTTTGGAAAAATAAAATGGTAAAAAATCAAAACAAAGGAACTTTAAGAAAATTCATTTTCAGAGCTCTGGTGGCCTAGTGGCAAGAAGCTGCACTGCAATCCCAGAAGTACTCTGTTCGAATCCACCAGATGCTCTGCTGGAGAAGGAGGGCAGTCTCCTCCTGTACCAGTAAGATCTAATTTGACAGTACACTCACAAAAAATAATAAAAAAAAGAAAATTCATTTTCCTTTGGGTCAGATACGTAGATATCTTCAGCAAAAACTACAGTTGCACTAGCCTGCCTCCTTCAAGAGCACTGATCACAATCTGCTGGTAACTTCTAGTCCTATTTCATACCCAATGAGGATTTTCCCCAAAGATAACTCATAATAGATGTACCCTTTTCAGAGACAGTCTCTCTACCCTGCTACCATCTGATAACTTGCTGAAAGATTTTTCCTTCTAAGTGTTCCCAAAGCATACAGCTGTATGTGTGAGTGTGTGTTTAACCACAAATGCATCTGTTCCTACCCAGTCACAAGCAAGCCTAATCACGGGGAGGGCTAAGTGAGCAGCTTGGGAGTCCTGTGAGCATTTGCTCTCCACAGATGTTTGTGAAAGTAGCATCCCACTCTTTCTCGCAGCTCTCCCTTCCTCCTCAAGTGGCACTGAGGTGCCGTTTTCACTTCTTGGATTCCAGGATGTTCATAGACAGGAATTTGGGCTTCCCAGGAAGTGAAGCAATGAAGTCTGTCCTTGACTGCAGCCAAGAAAATGAAGCCAAAATAAAGATAAAGAAAGTATAATCAAGACTGGCTAGTCTTGTCTTTTTTTTAAAATTTTATTGTTTTTGTGTGTGTGTACCGTTAAAGCAGATCTGACTGGTACAGGAGGAGATTGTCCCCCCTTCTCCAGCAGAGCATCTGGTGGATTTAAACTGCATGCGCCTGGGATTGCATTGCAGCTTCTTGCCACTAGGTCACCAGAGCTCCCTAAGACTGGCTAGTCTTTTCTAAGATGAAATCAAGAGTTGATTTACCAGCTTTGCTGATGACTTAGGGAGAGTCTGTAGGAAAGTGAAGAAAGAACTGAGGAATATTTTTTCTCTCCCCAGAACTTTCTGCAGGGACTACTCACCAAGGACCCCCAACAGCGTCTGTCCTGGCCAGACCTCTTACATCACCCCTTCATTGCTGGCCATGTCACCAGTGAGTCATTGGGCCTCCCAGGGGTCTTGTCCTCAGTCCTCTTTTGTCTATTGCCCAACCCCCACCCCACCACAAAGCCCCTTCCCGGATCCAGAACCAAATTTTCCTTCCTTTACTAGCTTGAATTTCCTCCCTAACCCTTTATCCAGTCTTGCCACTTCTCTTGGAACCTCCTTCCCTCTTTGTCATTTTGCCAAAAAGATCTACTTCCACAGAAACTGGCAGACCAAGAGGCCGTATTGGCTGCAGGTCCAGTGTCATCTTATGCCCTCCTCTTCCCTGCAGTAATAACTGAGCCAGCAGCCCTAGATTTGGGTACCCCATTCACCAGTCGCCTACCCCCAGAGCTTCAGGTCTTAAAGGAGGAACAAGCACATCGGCTAGCACCCAAGAGTAGTGAATCTCGCATCTTGCGTCAGGCACGTAAACGCATGGCTGAGGAGGCCAAACAAAAGGTGTGTGCAGCACAGGTAGTGACTGGGAGAACTGAGGAGAGGGACTTTCTAGGGTGGTCCAAGACTGAATGAGATCTATTAGAGCCCTATGGTAAGCATATAGTTCTGGCCCAGAAGCTCTTACCACCTCCCACAGAAACTCCAGAACACAGAACTTGTCCTTGAGCAAGAAGACAAGACCAGCAAGGTGGCTCCTGGCACAGCCCCTTCGCCTGAGCTAAAGGCTGCCGATCAGGAACCAGGCCTCTTGGCCGGGATCTTGGCCTCAGAAATGAAGAGCAGCTGGGCTGAATGGGGGCATGGCGAGGCCCTCCCTACACCACGGTGAGTGAGGTAAACTCAGAGGTTTTTAGGGCAAAGTATAGGGAGGTCTGGTGGCCAATCCACAGGTAAGTATTTCAAACCTACCAGCTATTCTGTGGGAGAAAAATGGGCAGTCTCCTACTGTGTAGTTTGCTGCCTCTGAAAACCTGCTGGAGGGTCAGATGTGTGTTGATTCCAACTTAATGGTATTTAAAAATAAGAGCAATAACATTGTGCAGATTTTTGACCCTAACCCAAGTAAATAGAAGATGGCCCCTGTCCCTCGCCACTGTGTAAATGTGGACAGTGCCCTGGGAGAGTCTTGGTCCTAGGCTCTTGGGTTCTAATTCCATAGACTTTCCTGATTGGTCAGGAAATGTGGGCACTAAAAGAGAAAGGATACCTTTTATCTAAAAGAGAAAAGTGTGTGACTTGAGAGCTGTGGGTAAAAACTGCCAAAGACTTGAGAATAAGATCCAAAGTGGGAGGGCAGCCTGGGATGTGCCCACAGTGGTCACATATCCTGCCATGGACACAATCTAAAAGGCAGTTGCCTCATTCAGTCCTATATGACTTATTCCTCATTCCATCCTGAGTTTGGGAGAGGGATGGGTTAATGACCTCTCAGCCACATAAGACTGGAGCTCACCCTATTTGTGTTTCCTTTGTTAGGGAAGCCCAGGCCACTGTGGATTGTGAACAAGCACTCCCAGAACTGGAACCAGAGGAGATGGTCCAGAGGAATGTTGATGCTGTAGACCTAGAAAATGAGGTGAGTCTTAGGGGTTCTTCTTGGCCTTCTGTCAAGGGAATTTTCCGCCCCCTGGAACAGTGATTTTCAATTCAAGCATAAGCCCTTTTATAGTAAAAAATTATTTTCTTAATGTTAATTTATAGACTTTGACTGCAAAGTATGTGAAGACACAAAAACTAGAATGTTGATTCAAACTGCCGACCTTTTGATTAGCTTCTTGGTTTATTATGTGCTACTCCAGCAGGGTTCTTTAGATTCTTTACAGCAAAAGAAGAAATGAAGTCCTCCCCCCAGTCCCTGCCTCATTCTTAGAAGTGACCACAGTTAGCAAGCAGTTTAATCTATCTTCTTAGAAACTTTCTATCCTTTTACATACACAGACATACTCGCTTAGAAGTAAGTATTTCGACTTTAACATCAGATTTTGCCATTGCTCCAGTAATAGTCTTTATGGAAAACAAAAAACCTGCCACTGTCGAGTCAATTCTGACTCATCAATGTAGTTCTGACTACACTGGGCCTCTGAGGTTCTTAATCTTTATGGGAGGAGACTGCCTATCTCTCTCCCAATAAGTGCCTGGTGGAATTGAACTGCCAGCCTTTTGGTCAGCAGCCTGATACATTATCCACTATGTCACCAGGGCTTATATGCTTATAGCAAAAGAAAAAAAGCTCTGATCCAGGATCAAGCATTTCTCATTGAATTTAGTGGTTTTATTTAAATATTTCCCTTTAATCTGGAGCAGTTCCCAGCCTTCTGTTGTCTGTTGTACGTGACTGCATTGAGGAGTAGAGACCAGTTATTTTGTAGAATGATTCTCAGATTGATACTATCTCCATGTTAGATTCAGGTTAATTTTTGAAATGATTACTACTTGAGTGATGTATCCTCAGTATCATAATCTTTGAAACAACTTTATAGCATTTCCTAATATGGAAGTACCATGATTTCTTACTCACATGATGATTGGCTTTATGATTTTATTGAATTAGAGTATGTTGCAATATCTGAGGTACTGGTTTGTGTACATGTGCCATTATTCTCTGAGACTTTTTTTTTAATAATTTTTATTTATCTATTCTTTTTATGTGTGTACTGTCAAATTGGATCTGACTGGTACAGGAGGCGATTGTTCCTCCTTCTTCAGCAGAGCATCTGGTGGATTTGAACCACGCACCTCTGAGATTGCAGTGCAGTTCCCTGCCACTAGGCCACCAGAGCTCACCTCTCTGAGACTTTTTGAGATCTTTCACTTATATGCTTACCAGCTATCCTCTTTTTAACTGGTGGCTGGAAAAAAAGACATCAGTGCCCAAGGAATCATTGGTTTCTTGCAATTATTTCATGGTTCCCCAGGGTTTTTACCCCCAGGTTTGGAGTTAGTACTCTTTTTTTAAGGTTTTTTTTTTATTATTATTATTAATTTCAATGAAAATTTACAGAGACTTTGGATTTCCATTCATTCATTGTTGCACTTTTCTCACTGCCCAACCCTCCCCCCATTACACTCTCCTCTTGGAAAAGTAAAAGAAAAATTATTTTATTGTTTTACAATCCCTCCCCCCAGGTCCACTCCACTGTGTAGCCTTCACTCTGACTCCTGTCATGACAAAAATATCCAATCACATATCCCATTTAAACAATTTTCTCCCTCATCTATTTCAGTGCAGTATACATTATTGAACCCATCTTTTCTCAGTCTCCCCCCAACACTGATGTCAGTTCTGTTTTACAACAGTGGCACATGCAGTATTTGTCCTCCTGTGACTGAGATACTTCACTCAGCATAATGTCCTCCAGGGTCACGCATTTTGAATAATATTACATGAGTTCCTTGTTTTTCAATACAGCATAGTATTCCATTGTGTGACTATACCACAGCTTCTCTATCCATTCCTTTGTTGATGGTGGAGTTAGTACTCTTAAATCTTACAGCTTCCTCCTGACTTCTTCCACTTCCCTTTTCCTCAGGAGCCAGACAGTGATGAGGAGTGGCAGCAGCTGCTGGAGAGCACCAGGCCTGCACCCATTCAACTGAAGGCCCCTCTCACCCTGCTATGCAATCCTGACTTCTGCCAGCGCATCCAGAGCCAACTGCAGGAGGCTGGAGGGCAGGTGACTTGCACGAGGCTACTGGGGATGACATTTGAGACTGTCTTTTCAGAGGATGCATAAAAAACATTGCCTAATGTTATTAAGACAGCTTGTTTCTTTTCCGTTCTCTTACTCTCAGGAGATTTGTTAACCTCCTTTATTAAAACAGAAAAAGCAGGTCTCAAGTTTCATTTTCTAAAGGGGAAAGTGTCTTTCTAGAGCAATAGTTGACAAACTTTTTCTGTGAAGGACCAGATAGTACATATTTAGGCTGTGCAGGCTAAGAGGCAAAAATGGAGGCCATAATATGGTAGTTCAGTATTTGAGTATAAATAACTAGACCCCTGTTTTGTAATGTTTTATGAGTTCATTATTTTTGAGTGATGCAGAGTATTCCATTGTATGAATATACCATAGTTTTCCTATCCATTGATTTGTTGATAGACACTTAGGTTGCTTCCATTTCTTTTCTATTGTAAATAAAGCAACAATAAACTTGAGTATGCATATATGTGTTTGGATAGCAGTTATGGTTTCTTTAGGGTATATTCCCAGTAGTGGCATTGCTGGGTCAAATGGTATTTCTCATTTTTTGAGGAAGCGCCAAACTGCCTTACATAGTGGTTGTACTGTATGACACTCCCATTAGCAGTAAATAAGAGTTCCAATCTCCCCACAACCTCACCAACATTTATTGTTGCTTCTCTGTTGAATGTTGCTATCCTTACTGGGGTGAGATGTTACCTTATAATAGTTTTTATTTGCATCTCTCTGGTAGATAAGGATTTTGAACATATCTTCATGTGTTTGTTTGCCATCTGAATGTCTTCTTTGTTGAAGTATCTATTCATATCCTGTGCTCATTTGCAATTGGTTTAACTTTTTCTTGTTGAGGTGCTGTAGTATTCTATACGTTTTAGATATGAGTCCCTTATCAGATAGATCATTACCAAATTGTTTTTCCCCTCAAGTCTGTGGCTTTCCTTTTTACCCTGTTGACAAAGTTTTTTGTTGTGCATAGGTATCGGGATCCAACCCCGATATATCGAAACAGTTCTGCCGAGTGAAGGGACAGGGATGAAATGAAGACACAGAGAGACTACCTGTTGATGACAAATAGTGAATTTACTGATTTTAGAAAAGCATATATAGCTTTTAGAAAACCCATCTGCAGTAGCAATCGTATTATCTCTTTCTGTCTGAGATGTTGACTCTCAGGTCAAACATTAACTCTCACAGACCTCAGCACAATACAAAGATGGTTTCCAGCATACCTCATTGTGAGCTCCAAGAAACAAAGAGAGAACATTCCCTAAGGTCTGTGACCTTTGGTCACTCTTATTCATTAACATCCTGCTTCCTTGAGTTGTTTATTGCCAAGCAGATGTTCTAGCCAAGATGGAATTAGTCTTGCTGGTTTTACAATACAGGGCTAATCTTGTTTTGCAAGTTAGCCAGGCCCCTGACACAGAGGGATTTGATTCTTAGAAGGTTCTATTCATCTATTTTGTTCTCTCCTGGTTATAGGTTTTTCATTATGCTTGGAAGACTGTTCATACCATAGGTTAGGGCTTCTAGAGTTCTTCCAAGCTTTACTGTAATGCAGTTTATAGTCTTTGGTTTTACTCCTAGGTCCTTGATCCACCTTGAGGTGGTTTTTGTGTATGGTGTGAGGTGTGGGTCTTGCTTAAAGTTTTTCTACAGATGATTTTCCAGTTTTGCCAACTGTCATTTCCCCACTTAACTGATTTCATCTCCTTGTCAAAAATCAGTTGAACGTAAATAGATGAGCTGATTTCTGGGTTCTCACTTTTATTCTGTTCATTTGTGTATCTGACACTGTACCAGTACCACGCTGTCTTGACCACCATGGCTATGTAGTAGAATTTGAAATCAGAGTATGATACCCCCTACCTTGTTTTTCTTTTTCAGTCATGCATTACTTATTTGGGGTCTCTTTCCATTCCAGATAAAATTGGAAATTGCCTTTTCCATCTCATTGAAGAGTGGAATTGGTGTCTGTATTGGGATTGCATTAAACTTGTAGATTGCCTTTGGTAGAATTGTCATTTTCATGATATTGAATCTTCCTATCCATTCTTTTATTTATCCAGGTCTCTTTTTGTTTCTTATAGAAATGTTTTGTAATTTTCTTTTTATAGATCTTTTGTGTCTGTATTTATATTAGCTCTCAAGTATTTAATCTTGTGATTAGCTATTGTGATAAGTATTGTTTTCCTTAGCTCCTTTTCAGTATTCTTTGTCACTATAAAGAAATGCAACTAATTTTTGATCCATTTGATGTATGTTGATCTTGCTACTTTGCTTTATTGGTCAACTATATCCAATAGTTACAAAAACTTCATTTTTTTAAAAGATGGCATCTGAACTTGTCTGGCTCAAAATGCTGAGAAGTTACAATGTAGTTTCTGCTAAATATATTTACTGTGCTCTAAATATTAAAAAAAGGCAGTTCAAGAAGACAAAGCAATGTATTATAATGGCATGTACAAAGAGCTAGAATTGGAAAATAAAAAGGGGGCGAGCTCTGGTGGCCTAGTGGCAAGAAGATGTATTGCAATCCCAGAGGTGCATGGTTCAAATCCACTAGATGCTTTCTGGCAAAGGAGGAACAATCTCCTCCTGTACCAGTCAGATCTGATTTGATGGTACACACACACAAAATAATAAAAAATAATAAAATTTTTAAAAAGGAAAAAAAAAGAACCAATGATAATGAAGAAAGAAATTCAAGCTGCATTGAAAGAATTGGCAAAAAATAAGGTCCCAGGAATCAATGGGATACCATATGTTTCAACTAACAGATGCAGCCCTGGATGTGCTCACAGTCCATGCCAGAAAATTAGGAAGACAATTACGTAGCCAACTGGAAGAGATCCATATTTGTTCCCATTTCCAAGAAAGTTGATCCAACAGAATGTGAAGATTATCAAACGTAATAGAAAACTGCCAGAGTTTCAAGCTGAGTTAGAAGAGGCCAAGGCATCAGGGGTATTACTGCTGATGTCTGATATATAGTTGCTAAAAGCAGAGAATACCAAAACAATGTCTATTTGTGTTTTATTGTCTATGCAAAGGCATTTGACTGTGTGGACCATACAAACTATGACTAACATTGAGAAGAACAGGCGTTCTAGATATTATATTATTAATACTTAATTGTGCTCATACGAAACCTATACGTAGACTTAAGAGACTGTTTTCCGAACAGAACAAAGTTTAAAAATCAAGAAAAGTGTGCATCTGGGCTGTATTCTTTCTCCAAATCTGTCCAAGCTTCTCATTCAAGAAGCTGGACTTCACAAAGAGGAATATGGCAACATGATTAGAGGAAGAGTTATCAACAGCATGTATTTTGCAGATGACACAACCTTACTTTCTGAAAGTGAAGAGGATTTAAAACACTGCCGAAGTCTTCAATATGGATTACAACTCAATATCAAGAAGATGAAAATTCTTACTATGGGGCCAATAGGCAGTATCATGATAGATGGAGAAAAGACTCAAGTAGTCAATGAGTCCATCTTACTTGGATCCACAATCAGTACCCTTAGTATTAACAGTCAAGAAATCAAAAGACATGATGTATTGGGAAAGTCTCTTATCAAGGACCTGTCCAAAATAGGAGCAATTATGTCAGTTCAGAGACTAAGTACGGTGTGCCTTATTCATGCCATGGTCTTTTCAATCATTTACTGTGCATGGGAGAGCTGGACAATGAATGACAGAAGAATTGACACTTTTGAGTTGTGATGTTGTAGACGAATGCTGAATAGCTTATGGATTGCAAAGAGAATGAACACCTATGTCTTGAAGAAAGTACAACCAGAGTGCTCCTTGGAGGCAAAGATGTCAAAGCTTTGTCTCATATACTTTGGGCATGTTGTGAGGAGAGGCTGTTCCCTGGAGAGGGACATCATGCTTGAAAAGGCAGAGGCTCAGCGAAGGAGAGGAAGACCCTCAACCAGATGGATTTTCATGGAGACCACAGCAATGGACTCAGTATGTCAGGTGATGCAGATAGTGCTGTCGGACAGGGTTTAGAGATGTTGATGGAGTTGCCATGAGTCGTACTCAACACACCTAACAACAGCAACAGCCTCTCTCAGTCTTCTCTGAAAGAGGGACTTTATACATTCTTTTTTTTAAGTAATTTTTTTTTCTTCATTATTTTTTATTGTTTTATTTACACTGCCAACTTCTAAAAAGATTGCTAAACTAGGCAGAAATCGCTTTATACTCCTCATTCTTGAGGGGGAAGGGCTCTTCTTCTGTAACTAATTCAAGCTGGGAAGGAATATAAAAGCTAATGACTTAGTCACAATTGTTCTGCTAATCCAAAGGCTGCCAATTTCACAGTCTCTGTTGATCTTAAGCCCATTGTTGTAGCAATCAGGGAGAAATGAACAAAAAGAGAAATTCTTTTCTGTAAAAAACCCAAAACAAAACCCCCAGACCCATGTTGTTGTTGTATACTATCAAGTCAGAACCAGCCCACAGCTGACCCTTCTGAAGGGTCTCCAGAAGCTGTAAGTCACATGGGAGGAGATTGCTGATGTTTCTCCTGCAAAAGCATCTGGTAGATTTGTATGTTGTACCTTATTATGTATGTAATTATATGTGTATTCAGTGTTGCACAAAGGGCATTATATAATATATTTTTTCCCCAAAATGTGGTTTACTTTTTAGTTCTCATAAGTGTCTTGAGTGATTAAATTGTGAATTTTGGTAAGGGGGGTATTCTTCCCTTTGGTCTCTGTTGTTATTATTATATTTTCAGACAACTTGGCCTTCTATATTCCTTTTCCCTTGATCTTTGTACAATAAATCTAAACTCTTACCATATCCAGCACCATTCTCATCAACTCTGACATACTTGAGTCTGTTGCTGTGGTCACCATGGAAAGGGTACAGTCTCCCTTGTAGGGAATTTTAGACTCTTTTTTTTTAAAATTTTTTTTCTATAATTATATTTTATTAATTTTCATAAACATTTACAGAGATTTTGGGTTTCCATTCATTCATTGTTGCACTGGAATTTTAGACTCTTAAAGAAAGAAATTGTTCTTAAAGATTTGCCAGCTTCCTGGGGATACTTTGTAACTGTATCTTTCCTCCTTTTACCTCATGATACTGATCTCTGTCTTGTTCCCTCATGTCTCCCAGATCCTGAAAGGTATCCCAGAAGGTGCTTCTCACATCCTCCCTGCACTCCAGGTTCTGAGCAGTCTTCTGTCCAGTTGCAGTGAATCTGTTGCCTTGTATTCCTTCTGCCGTGATGCAGGGCTTCCTGGCCTCCTGCTCAGCCTAGTCAAACACAGCCAAGAGAGCACCAGCATCCAGAAGGTGAGCACCAGGCGGGGAGCCTCTTGAGGCTGACAGAAGTGCCCTCTTCTTGGCGTTCTCTGCCTTCTGCCTGCCACCTCTATTTGCTCAAATGCCACTTTTCTCTTTCCATCACTATCTAGTTAGTAAACCAGAAATTGCACATTTTTATGCCTTCTGGAGCTCTAGCGGCCTAGTGCTAAGAAGCTGCACTGCAGTCTCAAAGACATGGTTCAAATCTACCAGCAGCTCTGTGGGAGGATGGACAATCTCCTGTAAAATTTTGTTGTTAGGTGCTATTTAGTCAGTTATGACTCAAAGCGACCCTGTGAACAATATACCTTAATCCTGTCCTGTCCTATGTCATCCTCACTATCTCTGATACACTTGAGCCCAATGCGGCAGTCACCATGTCAGTCCATCTCAATAAGGGTCTTCCTCTCTTTTGCTGATCCTCCACCCTTCTAAGCATGATACCCCTTTCCAAGGAATAGCCTCTCCTAGCAATTTGTCCAAAGTATGAGAGACAAAGCCTTGTCATTCTTGCCTCCAAGGAGTACTCCGGCTGCACCTTTTCCAAGACATACCTCTTCATTCTTTTGACAGTCCATGGGATATTTAGTATTCTTCTCCAACACCACAGCTCAAAGGCATCAATCATTCTTCTGTCTCCCTTATTCATCACTTAGCTTAGATGCATAGCAAGTAATTGAAAAGACTATGGCCTGAATCAGGTGCACCTTAGTCTTCAAACTGACATCACTGCTCTTCAGTATTTTGGAATGATCCCTGACAGTAGACTTGCCTAAAGCAGTATTACCTCTTATAACACACTAGGTTCATCTATCAAAGTATCAACTCATAGCACTAGAGTTTGATTTTTATTTACGTTTTGATTAATGTTTATATGAAGTATAAAATACTCGATGGCCTATTCACATGCACAGATGACAAAACTAAGGGTCAGAGAGGACAAGACCTTTAAAAGGTAAATTTTATCAGAGTTATCAAAGACCTCATTTAATCTGGCATTACCATTCCATTAGACAAAATAAAGCCCTGAGAGGTTAAGTGCTTTCTTCTAGGTAGAAAAGTTAATAGTGGCAGACTATATTTTGCAAGCTGTGATGATCACATTAGGTATATTCGCAATCTATTGGGAACCCCAGATAAACTAGGAAGAACTAAGCCCTTTCATCCTGCAGCTGCCCGCTGCCCACAAAAGAAAAATAAACTGGAAGGACTGTGGGTCGGTTCCAACTCAACAGCATATAATAGTACACAGTGTCTCCTGGGACCATGTAGATCGTGTTAGTCATGAAGTAGAGTATGTGTATGACTAGACAGAAGAGTGGAGAATGTGATAAACATGCCCAGTCTAAACAGGACAGCCTCTTCTCAGTGACAGTTCACTGTTGCCATGTGGGACTGCAGACCTTAGTGGTCTAGCTTTCCAAGATTCTTCCATCCCCCCAAGATTCTTTAAAAAAAACAAAACAGATAAAACTTCATCTTAGAGCAGGGTTTAGAGCTCTTTATATAGGGTCACTCGACTCGATGGCACATAATAATAATAAACAATAATACCAACCAATAACTTAGGCAACCGAAAAGCTGCATTCTGATAAGTGCCAATAGGCATGGTGGGTTGGGTTTTTTTAAAGTTTATAAAAAACTTGGATTTCCATTCATTCATTGTTGCACATTTTCCTCCCTGTCCCCCCTCCCTACCAGTTCACTTTTTTCTTGGGGGAAAAAGTTCTTTCATTGTTACAGTCCCCACTATCACCACTTTACTATGCAGATCTTATTCTGGACTCTCGTCATGCCAATAATACCTAATCATATAATCCTTTAGACAGTTCTCTCCCCCATCTGTTTCAATGCCGTGTACATTATTTATACCCTCTTTTCTTAGTTTCCCCCCAACTCCCATGCTCCCATGTCAGTCCTCTTCTATAACAGTGGCATTATGCAGTACTTGTCCTTTTGTGACTGAGATATTTCTCTCAGCATAATGTCCTCCGTGGTCACCCATTTTGTATAATATTTCATGAGTTCTTTGTTTTTCAATGCAGCATAGTATTCCATTGTGTGAATATACCACAGCTTCTCTATTCATTCATTTGTTGATGGGCACCTGGGTTGTTTATCATGGGTATTTCTTTTTTTTTCCCCATGGGTATTTCTAAGGTATTTAGAAAAATACTGAGGTCTTTTGAAAAGCTGACCCTGCAACACTCCTCAAACTAAAATTTTATGTAGACTAAAGAGGACTCATTTCTAGGCTGCTGACAGCCTGCCCGCTGACACTTTGCTATCCCTAGTGTGTTTCTTATGCCCATGCGAGATCTGTCTCTGTTCTTCAAGGTTTGGCCCTCTTGACTAGATCTTCTTGTGCCTTTTTTCCATTTTTCCTACTCTCTGTTTTCCTCCCCCACATTTAATAACCTTTTCTCACTTATCTTCCCTGGCAGCAATCTTGGTATGGTACCTTCTTAAGGGACCTGCTGGCTACTCTTCAGGCTTACTTTGCCTGCACCTTCAACCTGGAGAGGAGCCAGACAAGTGACAGGTAGGGTTAAAGGCAATTATCCTCGGTCAGCCATTTGGGCTTCACTTTTTACTTCACTTTCTTCCTTTCTCCAGCTGGAGGAAGCTAAATGAGAAGAAATTTTGCAACAAGTTTAGGGATCAAATTAATCCAGCTGATCCTTTAAATAAACTCAGAGATACCTCAGACTTTCAGGTTCTAAGAAACAGTAGTAACCCTGGCCCTAAATGAAAAAGTCCAGTAGTGAATAACTAGGGAAAATGATAAAGCAGGGCCTTGGAGGATGTGTATGTGTATTAAGTTGGGTGTGTATAATGTGTGTAATGGAAGAGAGAAGAGAGCAATTTGATACATTCCTTTGCAAATTCTTTGCACCCAGAACTGGCCCAGTCGCTACATCTGGCCCTTTATTCGATGAGAAGAAACCAAGGGCTCACTTGTTTCCTAGCTTGCAGGTCTTCCAGGAGGCCTCCAGCCTCTTTCTGGACTTTTTGGGGAAACTGCTGGCCCAACCCGATGACTCTGAGCAGACTTTGCGGAGGGACTGCCTTACGGTAATGTGCTCCACACCATATTCCTGCCTCTCTTTCCCTCCATGTTTCTCTTGTTCTCTTCTTTCTGACTGCATAGGATGAGAATAAATTAATACAACAAACATTTGTTGGATGGCCTCTGTTTGCCACACACTATGGGAGTAAGAGGAAGTTCTCTTATTAAGGGGTGAAGGGTTATCTAATTGGGAGGATGGAAAGTGATCTACAGATCATCCAGTAGTTCTCAACTTTGTTCTAAGTAAACTGTAGATATTGGAAGTGAAGGCCAGAGAATGGAAAATTGAATGGGCGTTCTAAATGATAGCACCTGATTAAGTGAGAGAGGAACATGAACAAGAGGTTAGAAATTGCCTGGCCATTGTTCACATTTCTAATTGGGAACACAGAAATAGTTACATTCCTCCGGCTACTGGTACATTCAGACTTTGCTGGTCTGAGAGCCTGTTTGAATACCTCAAATTCTTTTGAGCCAAGAAACTCCTAATGTCTAACTTAAGTGCTGGCCACAACCAGCCTGGGTCGTGGATGTGCAGCAGTGACTCGTGCTCTTGGCCAAGACACTTCAGATGCCATCCTGCATGGAGAGTTTAGAATAAATGCTCCACCTACTGAAATTCTAAACCAGGGAGACTTGGGTTTGGAGGGACGTAGGAATCCTCAGGAGCTCTTGTACTTGTGTTCCACAAGTAATACTTTGAGAAACAGCATGTAGCAAGCAGCAGAGTGAATTCTTGTTTTTGCTGAGAAAGCAGTTAAACATGCATTTTCTGTAGAAGGAATGTTTAGAGTAAGACACCTGCTGCCCTAGGGTTTTCATCTTCATCGCTGAGATTCTTAGAGGGTTCTTGTTCCTTACATTAAACTTCATCATCTTCCTGATGCCCTGACATTAACACTACTCTTGACTTCCTTCAGTGCTTTACAGTTCTATGTGAAGCAATGGACGGGAATAGCCCAGCCATCTCCAAAGCCTTTTACTCCAGCCTGCTGACTACGCGTCGGGCTGTGTTGGATGGTCTCCTTCATGCCTTAACTATTCCCCAGCACCCTTTCCACACACCCCCAGGTAATGAGTGTGGAGGGGAGGTTCCACTGATGTTATTGTTGCATAGATCTGGTTCTGTTCTTTCTATTACCAGAATAGTGCCTGGTAGTTAGTAGATACTTAATGAACGGCTGTGAAGTAAAGGAATGAGTGGCGGTCTGAAGGAAACAACTGGAGCCCACCCTGAACCCTTGTCTTCCTCTCCAGGAGCCCCACAGATGAGCCAGTCGCTGAAGGAGCAGAGTGAGGACCTGCCTGGAGCTGTTTCCTCCGCATTGGCAGCCATATGCACTGCTCCTGTGGGACTACCTGGCTGCTGGGAAGCCAAGGAGCAGGTGGAGTATCTGTTCTTCCCATCTGGGTTATCAGGAGGCTAACCCAGCTTCTCAGATAGACAGAAAGATACAGGCTTTCAGGGCCTTCATTTGATGCCTCTGTGATAGCAGAAACTTGCTCCCACCCTGGGTCAGGCCACTTGAAGAGTATGATAGAGCCAGAGACCCAGTGTCCTTGGTCCCCTGATGAAGAGGAGCTCAGGGATAAGCTGCCCACCCAGGTGGGGTTGTTGGGCTGAAGCCGCCACTGATGTTTCCTCTAGAGCTTAGGATTCAGCTTTCCTGCTCTCTAGTGGCCAGAAACACTTCTCTCTGTATCTGCCTACTCTTGTGCCAAACTAGGTATCACTTTTGGTAAGGAAGACTGGGGATAGGAATGGGCTCTGAGGTTCCTGGTAAACCTGGGGAAGGAGCTAGTCAGGAATTGAGCACCCTAGTGGTTGGAGAGGTGAGAGGATTAGGACTGGAATACTGTCTCTAGGATTGAGCCTTCCGTCTGTCCCTGTAGGTCTCTCGGCATTTGGCACATCAGCTGACTAAAGACAGCAGTCAGTTGAGGCTGTCCCTCATCTCTGGCCTGCAGCATCCCCTTCTGTGCCTACACCTTCTCAAGGTACTGCTTACGCGTAACTCCACCCCTGCCCCTTCCTCTCTTTTTAAATTCATCCTTTCACTGCCCTGGCCCCTTCATTATCTAGGCTTCACCACAACTGAAGCATATACCCACCTAACTCAAAGAAGAAGTGGAAATGGACTGAATTCCTCACACTCCCAAGTGTAGATACCAAATTTATAGAGAAACTTTATCTGCCTTTCAGCTGAGCCTTCCAGCCTTGGAGCCCAAGGGCCTCTCTGCCTCACGGGAGCCTTCTTCTTGCTCCCTTAGGTTCTCTATTCCTGTTGCCATACCAGTGAGCACTTGTGCCATCTTCTAGGGCAAGAGCCCCTGGCCTTGGAATCGATGCTGATGCTGGTCCAGGGCAAGGTAGGCTAGGAACACAGGTGGGGGTCTCACAGTGACATCACCACCTCAACCAGAGGTGTTGCCTGATGGCTTAGCTTTCCTTTTTAGGTAAAAGTAGTAGATTGGGAAGAATCTACTGAAGTGACTCTCTACCTCCTTGCCCTTCTTGTCCTTCGACTCCAAGAACTACCTTTGGGGTGAGTCGTAGAGTCAAGTTAGTCCTAACTTTGATGATGTAGTATATGAGGAAATGGCACTCGCATCCTACCCTTTAAAGGGATTGAAACAGAGAGTGAAGGTTTCTCTACAGAGACAGATCTAGAGCCCCACCAACTTTCTGCCTTGGCAATGCTGTATGGCCTAGGTAAAGAGCATAATCAGAGGGTACAGGAAGACAACCTACCCACCTCCAGTGTGTTTCCCTTTTCCAGACTGGAGAAGCTAGGCAGTGAGGCTGCTGCTGTCTTTACCCACTCACATGTTGTCTCACTTGTGGTAAGTATTCACTCTATTTCTTCCCTTCTCACCTTAATCCTCTATCCTTTGGGGGAGCAGGGAAGGCAGTGTCCCACTTGGCAGCTGTTTCTAGGGCCATTCATCTGGACCAGGGCAGGGACAGATTCCTCCTCTGCTTGTGTTGAATAACACACAGATTCAGACATTTCTTCTCCCCCTTCTGTTTCGCCCACAGAGCGCAGCAGCCTGTCTGTTGGAACAGCTTTGTCAGCAGGGGGTAACCCTTGACCTCCTGCCTGCAGAATGGATAGCTGCAGCCACTCATGCCTTGTCTGCCCCTGCAGAGGTGGGAAAGCACAGACATCTTTTCTCTGAATCAGACCTTCAAGACAGCATTCAAGACATGCTAGGGAGTGGTGAAGGAATAAGAAGGCTTTCTTGTTTTATCCTTTGCTTTTAAATAATAGGCCCCCCTGAGAGAAAGAAATAAGGGCAAAGAAAAGAGACTTAAATTCTCTGAGGAGGTACAGTCCTTGGCCGCCTGCAGTCTTGTCTACCAGAAGCTCTTATTTTTGCCTGCTGAAGGATCTTCTACTTCTAGGTTTTCCACTCTCCCATTCTTTCCACTGCCACCATAACGAGCTTTCTTAAAAGCAAATTTGGCCATCTGTTAACCAGTATTATCAAAGACATCAATTTTTATTGAGTTCCAGACATCATACTAGGCTCTGGGGCTACAGCAGTGAAGAAAAAGGACAAACTATCATACCCGTGTGTAACTGACTTCTGAGATCAAGTCCTATAGCGGGATGACTCCTTAAATGTGATTGCCAAGAAATACCTGCAGTTCACTCCTTAAATTTGGGTTCTTCCTCCTGTTAAGTAAGAATTGCAAAACAGGATTTCAGGCTTAAAGAGTTTATTAGTGGAAATATTTTGCAGAGAACCCCTTGACTCACTGAACAAAGGAGGAATTTATTCTTTTTTTTTTTTTTTTTTTTGCCTGTCAACAGATGGTTTATTCTATATGAATTTATTCTTTTAAAGGCTCTGGAGGTGGGTGAGGAGGGATATCACGTTTATTCATAGAATTGGTGGAGTTTTTTGAATGAATCTATCAGGCTTTGTGGGGCATATGCACAGACGATCAAGACAGCCATGAGTATGCACAATTAAGGAAATTTCAGAAGATGTTTGTGGCACTTGGTCATCATGGAACATGCGTTTTCAAGATGGTGCTTATCTATGTTAAATAGAAAAAAGAGTTGAGAGCTAGAGAGAGAAAGAAAGAAGCTGCATTAACAGGCCTTTATTGCGTTGTCTGAGAAGCCTGTATTGGGTGTGGAGAAGTTCAGAATGACACCTTGGCAGTCAAGGACAGTTCCTTTTTATAGGGGGTTTTAAGAAGAACTAGGGAAGATTGTGTTTTACTCTGAATTTGGGGCTAGGGTTCTGTTAATTATCTTAGGTGTGGGCTTTTGTGACCAGGCCCAGAGCCTTCGACATTATCAAGTTTGTTCAAGGAGTGGTCAAGCCGGGAGGCAACTGTGACAGTCTTCATCCAATCATACAGGAGTCACTGGACAAGTCACCAGAATGTTTTTAGCAGAATTAAAAGTTGTTAAGAGGGAACCCTTAACAGAAATCTAACCCTGAAGGTGTCTAAGCCGCTCTTGTAGAATATGTTTTTGGGTCTATGTTGCTTGCAGTTAGCCAAATGCTGGCTTTCCTGATCTAAACTGTTTCAGGGGGAAAGAATCCAACACATCATGTAAAGAAGGATGGGAAAATAAAGTCTACAGTTCAGTGGTAATTTAGCCAAAGTTTAAAACAGTTAATCTTATTCTTTCTTATGCAGTGACACAGTAACTCAGGACTGAAGGTAGGTGTGTCAGAGACAGTGGATTTGGCTCAGAATAGAGGAGGATTCAGAGCTATTGTGCATAGGGTTGCTATGAATCTTAGTCAACTCATGGCAAGCAGCAACAACAGCATTAATTGTAAAGGTCATCTTTTTTTTTTTTTTAAAGGTCATCTTTGATAGAAGGACAGATAGTCCTGTTATTATGTTAATAGAGGGAGTGCCACTTAGGTGTGGATTGCAGCATGGGGAGGCAAACTAGAATAGTTAAAAGATGTAAACTTGGGGAGTTCTGGTGGCCTAGTGGCAAGAAGCTGCACTGCAATCCCAGAGGAACACGGTTCGAATCCACCAGACACTCTGCTGGAGAAGGAGGGACAATCTCCTCCTGTACCAGTCAGATCTGATTTGACGGTACACGCACACACAAAAAAAAAATTTAAAAAAAAAAAAAGATGTAAACTTGATAAGGAAGTATTTTTCAAAATTCTTTCTAGATTAGACTTATCCTTATAAAAGTATTATTACAATCCCAATTGTAATTGCAGCCCTCAGGACTGTCTTTTATTGTTTTTGTTCAGACATTCATCTAGGTCGTATAGCCCTGGTGTACAAGTTGCTTGTACAGTGGTAACTTGTGGTGGCTGCGAGGCTGAACACTGTGACACTGTGTCAAATGCGTTAATGGCTGGTTACCCAATGTGGACAGAGAGTGGGGTGGAGCTCCCTGATTAAAAGCTTGGAAGGAGGAGTGACATCCACTTCCGTAATAGCTTGCCTCTGGAAACCTTATGAACCTGGAGATAGGATGAGAGACACCCAAGCTTTGAGGACTCTTCCTTCATAGGTCACTATGAGTCGCCTGCTACTGGCACTTAACAACAACAACAACATTACAGTCCCAAAGGTATGCAGTTTGAATCCACCAGATTCTCCACTGGAGAAGAAGGGGCAATCTCTTCCTGTGCTGATCAGATCTGATTCAACAGCACACAACAAGTAAATTGAAGAAAAAAATATATATGATTAAAGACTGTTACTCTTACTCTTGCCAGCACATAACAACAACTCTCTTGCCTGTTGTCATACCCCCTTCTTATTTCTGAGTTTCCCAATCTCCGGAGACTAGGCTATTCTCTGGAGTCTGGTTGAATTCTAGGCTCACTTAGAAAATGGTTCTGATATAAATGGCCCTGTCTTAGAGGAAGCTGATTCTTTTCAAATTCTAATCTCTAATGGGGTTGTTAAAAACTTCCCAAAATAACTGCTTGAGCAATTGAAAAGATCAAAGAGATGAAGAAATAAATGTTAAGATGTCTTCTGAACTCAGTCCAGCCTACAGTGCGGGGAAGCTGCAGTATAGTTCCTCCTACTCATAAGCACCATGTTCCAAATTTTAAAGCAGAACCTAGTCTCCATTCAGAATCTTCAGTCTGCCTTTTAAAGCTCATGTGCTGTTACCTCTGGGCTCTAAAATCCTGCAATACATAAGAGTTACCATTTTCTTTTTTTTTTTCTATAATTTATTAATTTTCGTAAACATTTACAGAGATTTTAGGTTTCCATTCATTCACCGCTGCACCATTCTCTCTACCCTCCTCCCAGTTTGTTCTTGTCCAAATGCCACAGTGCTTGTCAAAGCCAGTTCTGATTAATCTCCTTTGTCAGTGTGTCCTTTGCCATTCCCTATCACTCCTCCCTGAGAGAGACTTCACCCTGAGTCATAAGGAAAAGGGGATGGCGTATTCTCTTAGCTACTTCCTGCTGAAAAGGGACGCTGTGGGTTTCAGGGTGAAGATCTTCTCTCACTACTCTAAAGGGCCCCTTTGGCAGTAGGAAACAAATAGACTATTATGGAGATTGATTTTGGAATTTAGATGCACTCTTATTGATTGTGCTTGGCCGTACATGTTCATATCCCTGAAGATGTATCATGGGGGGGGTTGCAACCTAGAAGACACAAATTTGACTAACAAGTTATAAGTACAGGAGTCAAAAATTATGGAAAAGTAAAAGAAAAGATTCTTTCATTGTTTTACAAACCCTCCCCCAGGTCCCCTCCACCATGTAGGCCTCGCTTTAGACTCCTGTGATGACAGAAATACCTAGTCACATATCTCTTTTAAACAGTTTTCTCCCTCCTCTGTTTCAGTGCAGTATACATTATTGAACCCAAGAGTTACCATTTTCAAAGTTCACTGGTTTTTCCTGCCTACTTAACTTTACATAAATTATGATTTTAACTTGAAACGTTCTCTTCCCTACTTTTACTTTTCTTGTCTGCCTTTGAAACTCTTCATCCATCATTTTACCGCCTCCTGGAGGCAGTCAAGTATCTCAGTTATGCCCCCTAAGCAGTCAGGAAATCAAAAAGCGTATCGGGATGGGAAAGTCTGCCGTTAGGGACCTCTCAAACGTACTCAGGAGCAACAGTGTCTCTCTGGAGACTAAGGTGCGCCTGATACAGGTCATGGTCTTTGCAATCGCTTGTTATGCATCAGAGAGTTGGACAATGACTAGGGAGGACAGAAGGAGAGTGGATGCTTTTGAGCTGTGGTTCTGGAGAAGGGTACTGAATGTACCCTGGACTGCCAGGAAAACAAACAGATCCATCTTGGAGAGGATTAAACCAAGCTGCTCCTTGGAGGCAAGGATTCTGGGGCTTCGTCTGACATACTTTGGACATGTTGCCAGGAGGGACGGGTCCTTGGAGAGGGACATCATGCTTGGGAGGGTGGAGCGACAGCGCAGGAGGGGAAGACCCTCTATGAGATGGATTGATTCGGTGACTGGGGTAATCGGGATGGGTGTGTCAGAGGCAGTGCGGTTGGCGCAGGATAGAGCAGGGTTTAGGGCTGTTGTGCATAGGGTCACTATGAGTCGGAAACGACTCGATGGCACATAACAACAACAACAACAACAACAACAACAATCTTTTATATAGCAACTGTCTTCTCAAACTGTACTTCTTTCCATGTCTGCTTACCCCACCAAGCTGTATATTTCTCTTCAAATAGAGTTATTCATTGAACGAATAGCAGGAGCCAGGATTCCCAATTCCTGAACCTTTCCCACTCCACCAGACCAAGAAAGGGATCTTCCTGTCTGATTAGATTAGGGTGCACAGGCCCGTGAGGCGGCTTCATCTCCTCTCATGGTTTTACTTCCTGCCTCTCTCCCACAGGTTCGGCTGGCTCCACCAGGTGGCTGTGGCTTCTATGATGGCCTCCTCATCCTTCTACTACAACTCCTTACCCAGGTATTTTCTGTGATGACTGGGAGGAAAGAAGAGAGATACTGGGTGTTTTGGAGAGCCACTGAACAATAAGCAACAGAAGAAACAACTCCTATTAACCTCTCAGACCTACTTTACTAGCTTTAAAAAAGGACATCTGCTCTGCAGGGCCAGCTCTAGTGGCCTGCTGGGTAAAGAGTTACGCTGCCAACCCAAAGGCAGACAGTTTGAATCCATTAGCAGCTCCAAAGGAGGAAGATGGACAGTCTCTGAAAACCTTCTAGGAGTATCAGCTGAGTTGATTCTGACACCAATGCAATAACTTTAACTTCTGACTTTGCCTTCCATGTAGACCCTTTAAATAAAACGACTTAGCTGCATCCTTTGGAATTCAGTGGAACAGAAAGTTGTGATTCTGTTTTTCGGCAGACATACACATCAGTTGAGCAGTCGTTGGGGTTGGGTTAAGGTATAATTAAAAAGGGAAAAGACACCAGGGAAAATTTAGATAGGAATCAGAAAACATTATTTCTGAGAATCTCTGCGCTTCTGGGTCAGGGAAAGGCATGGAAATGACCTTTTGACTCCTTACTTATGTGTCCACCATACTTTCTTCTAATTTTGTCTCCAGCAGGGCAAGACCAGCCTGATGAGGGATGTGGCTAGTTCAGAAATGTGGACCATTTTGTGGCACCGCTTCTCTATGGCCCTGCGGCTACCTGAGAAAGTGTCTAGACAGGAAGAAGAGCTGTTGCTATCCAGTCCACAAAGCCAAGAGCCAGACTGGACACTGATCTCACCCCAAGGTGCCTTTCAGCATGGTCTCCTTTTGTGGGGGCTGTTATATTAAACTCTCTTCAGAAGGAGGCAGCCTAGAACTGAGTTAGCCTACAGAGATTGCTACTTCTGCCGCCTGGGAAGAGGATGTCCGAGTCTACATTAGAACTGGTTAGGGCAGAGTCAGGGGGCACCACCACTCCATGTTTGCACCACTGGGTCCCGTTCTTGGTGTTTCCAGGCATGGTTACCCTGCTGAGCTTGGCCGTGGCCACCTTCGCCCAGGAACCCCAGCTGTGCCTGAATCACCTGTCCCAACGTGGAAGTATCCTCATGTCTACCTTGAAGCACTTGCTTACTCCCAGCTTCCTGCTTCAGTTGAGCCAAGCGTGAGTTTGAGCTGGAAGAAGGAAAACAGAAGATGAAGGGAATCAGCAGTCAGGAGTAGAGATGGGAAAGCAGGAGAGGAGTAGCTGACACTGAGCTGTGAGGCACAAAAGGGAATTAAGATTAAGCTGGAAACCTGAGTTGCTGAGAATGGGTAAGGGGAGCTGGAGGAGGGAATTTGAGAAGAAAGAGATAAGAATTTTAAAGGGCATAAGAGGTGCAAGATAAAATTCAAGTTTATCCTTCTTCATTCCCCTGCTTAGGCCTCACGGGTCTGAGTTTCTTCCTGCTATGGTACTCTCTGTCTGCCAGCTCCTCTGTTTCCCCTTTGCCCTGGACGTGGATGCTGACCTCCTTGCAGGGATCCTGACTGAGCTCAGGGACTCTGAAGTTACAGCCCATCTACTCCAGGTACTTGGGGAAACTACCTAAGCATGAAAGTGTGAGAGGAAGACGGTCCACTTGTGTACTCTTACTCACTTCCTGCCATTCCAGAGTTCTCCTTGGCCCCTAGAAAAGTAGAGCACATGGCCAGACTTAGGAGTTGGAATGGAGAAAGTATTCAGACCTGAGCAGAGGCATGTAGTCACAGCTGGGCCTGCTACCTCTTCTCCCTGTCAGCCCATTATCTGGATTCTGTTGGCGCTCATTGGGGTTGACATCCCAGTCTAGGGCACTGGAGATTCTGCTTCGTTACCAGAACTGCTGCTCTGCATTTCTTGAATGAGCCTTGGGCTTTTATTAATTTCTTTTTATATGTATAAGAAGTGAGGTTTTAAAAGGCAGAGATTCAGAGTCTTCAAAGAGCAAGGAATGAACTTTGAAAGAACCTGCTCTTTTGGGCTCCAGTGTATGTTTCCTTTGGAATGGTGAGGCAGGAGTTGGCCAAGTCTTCCAGCTTCGCTGTGGTGTTTCTCACTCCTGTTTGGTTTTGATCCCCCTTCCATTTTTTACCAGTCCTAGCTGCCAGGTACACCCTCTCCTTTAACTCCTTTTTCTTGCGCCCCCATCCTTCCAGGTTTGCTGCCACCATCTTCTGTTGCCACAAATTGAGCTGCCCATGGGCCTTCTCACGCGCCTGGCCCTCACGGATTCCACCTCTCTCAGTCAGTTTGTGAATACAGTGGCTGCCTCCCGTAGCCCCATCATCTCCTTCTTATCACTAGCCCTCTTGGGTGATCAATTACTGCTGACTTCTGATCTTCTCTCGCTTCTGGCTCACACGGCACGGGTAATGTCTCCCAGCCACTTGTCTTTTATCCAAGAGCTCCTGGCTGGCTCTGATGAATCCTATCGGCCCCTGCGCAGCCTCTTGGGCCACCCAGAAAATTCTGTGCGAGCCCGCACTTACAGACTCCTGGGACACATGCTCCAACACAACATGGCCTTGCGTGGAGCACTGCAGAGCCAGACTGGACTGCTCAACCTTCTCCTGCTGGGGCTTAGAGACAAAGACCCTGCTGTTCGACACAGCGCTAGCTTTGCTGTGGGCAATGCAGCTTACCAGGCTGGCCCCCTGGGGTTTGCCCTGGCTGCCGCAGTGCCCAGTATGGCTCAATTGCTTGGAGATCCTCAGGCTGGTATCCGACGCAATGCTGCTTCAGCTCTGGGTAACTTGGGGCCGGAGGGACTAGGGGAGGAGCTGTTACAGTGCCACGTACCCCAGCAGCTCCTCGAGATGGCATGTGGAGACCCTCAGCCAAACGTGAAGGAAGCTGCTCTCATTGCCCTCCGGAGCCTCCAGCAGGAACCCTGCATTCATCAGGTATGTCCTGAGGGACTCAGGAGCCAGGATCAGGCCCTGTAGAGTTCACATTGCTCAGAGAGAGTTCTTAAGGAATTTGGACATCTAGAAATCCAAGCTGGGTTCCTCTGAGCAAGCAAGTCTAGATAAGTGTTCACCTTTGAGCTGTGGTGCTGGAGAAGAGTGTTGAATATACCGTGGACTGCTAGGAGAACAAACAGGTTTGTCCTGGAGAGAGTGAAGCCAGAGTGCTCCTTGGAGTCAAAGATTCTGAAGCTTCATCTAACATACTTTGGACATGTTGCAAGGAGGGACCAGTCCTTGGAGAGGGACATCATGTTAGGGAGGTTGGAGGGACAGCGCAGGAGAGGAAGACCCTCGATGAGATGGATTGATTAAGTGATTGGGATAATGGGAGTGGGTGTGTCAGAGACAGTGAGTTTGGCACAGGATAGAGCAGGGTTTCGGGTTCTTGTACATAGGGTCACTGTGAGTCACAGGCAACTCCATGGCACATAACAACAACCACAACAACCCTAGAATAAGGTCATTATCTTTGTTAGCGCTTACTGTATGAACAGTACCATGCTAAACATTTTACTTTTAAGATCTGGTTTAAGCTATGCTTATCATCATTTTGAAGGTGAAGAAACTGAGGCTCAAAGAATTTAATAAGTAACTTGTTCAAGTTACAATGCTAGCATGTAAGATTGGACATTTGAACTCAGGAGCCCGAGTTCAGAGCCTGTGCTCTTAAGCTTCACTTTTACTCTTCCACTTTATTCAGTGTTTATTAAAAGCCCAACTGAAAACATGCATCCATTTACAATAAGACTAACATCCCAAATTACAGTATCTCAGTGTGGTACTGTGTTTAGCAGGAAGTAACGGGGCATAAAGGTACAGGACCATGAGCATCTCTCTGAAAGGGCCAGAGAAAGTAAAAATAACACAGCTGCTCCCCACCCCAGAAGAGAAAGCAGATCAGAAGTCTGTAGTCCAGCCCCATGGTATCTGGCCTCCTTGCACTACTGCATTTGTCACCACTTCCTGGGGACAAGTCTGTGAGTCCCTTGGAGCCAAAGGGTAATATGAGTAGAACTTTTCTCTTATTCCAGTATGAGTTCCCAAGGCCCTTTCTTACTTCCTTTCCTGGAGTTTGTATTGTTGGGTCGATTGGAATTTCTCTGCATCTCAGACACTACTATTTCGAAGCCTCACACCCTGTGTCTTCATCTTTTCTCTATCCTCCAGGTGCTGGTGTCGCTAGGTGCCAGTGAGAAATTAGCCTTGTTTTCTCTGGGAAATCAGCTGCCACCTCCCAGCAGCAGCAGTCCCAGACCTATCTCTGCCAAGCACTACAGAAAACTTATCCACCTCCTGAGGCCGACCCACAACACATGATTTCAGACACTGGGTTCCGAGCCTCTAGTCTTCTCAGCCTATGGTTGCCAACTCTTCCTTTTACTACTATGCAAGTCGCCAACTCAACTGAGAACTGAAGAGATAACATTGCCAAGTCAACTAAGATTGAGAAACTAGAAAAAGTGTACGCATCAAGTTCTTTCCTTGCCTCTCAGATGCAGGATAATAAGAACCAGTATGCGTCATTGCTGTTGGCACCAGAGAAGATTCCTCTGTTCTCTGTATCAGGGGTCTTTTCTCCCAGTAATGAGCTTATAACTGCAGGAACTTGAATCCTGGACTTTCTGGAAAGATCTTGTACCTGACAGTGGACGAAAGATCTTTTTTTGGAGTAGCTGTAACCCTCCCACCAAGTTCTTGGGTTGAATCCACTGGCTTCAGAGTAGTGATGAAAACAGAGATTGTTTAAGCTCTGTGCTGTTGGGATAAATGCCACCAGTGTCTGTTATTTGAGGGAGGGCCCCAGACCTTAGTCCATATTCCCATTTTTGGGTGGTGGTAGGGGAGTATGTCTTTTTTTAAAAAAAATTCTGTTTATAAATCATTTTAATAAAAAATGTGTCTCATCCTACCTAGAGCTTCCAGAGTAATGGATTAGGAGATTCAGCCTCTCTCTTCTCTTCTGGGTGGTGTGTTTGAGGTACGCCTGTCCTTCATGTTGATATCCTCATATGCTGGGTATGTAGGCTTATCTATATCTTCCTACCTTCCAGCATTCTTTTATTCAGATTACTACATGTGGTTGTTTCCACATCAGTGCTGGTGGATTTGAAATAGGAAAGGGTAAGATTAAACAAAGGGGTGGGTGGGGTTCTTTTTGAGATCTCCAGCCTGATCACTAGTTTTGGTGTTTTGTTTTTTTAAATTTAATTTTATTGATATTTTATTGAGAGTTTACAGAAAACTTCGATTTCCATTCCTTCATTGTTGCACACAATTTCCTCCCTCCTCCTCCTCCCTGCCCCCCAGTCCACTTTGCTGTGCATCTCTTATTCAGGACTGTTGTCATGCAAATAATACCTAATCATATCTTTCTTTTAGACAGTTCTTTCCCTCATTTATTTAAATGCAGTGTTCATTATTTATCCCCTCTTCGGTGTCCCCCCAAACCCCCATGTCAGTCCTGTTTTATAACAGTGGCATTATGCAGTATTTATCCTTTTGTGACTGAGATATTTCACTCACCATAATGTTCTCCAGGGTCACGCATTTTGTATAATATTTTATGAGTTCCTTGTTTTTCAGTGCTACATAGTATTCCATCATGTGGATATACCACAGCTTCTCCATTTGTTGATGGGAACTTGGATTGCTTCCATCTCTACTATTGTGAACAACACAGCAATAAACATGGGTGTGCATATATCTGGGTGGCATTTCTGATTTTTTTAAATTTAGAATTAATTTAAATGAAAATTTACAGGGACTTTGGATTTCCATTCATTCATTCATTGTTGCACTTTTCCCCCCTCCTAATCCTCCCCCCTAGTACACTACCCTCTTGGAAGAGTAAAAGAAAAATTCTTTCATTGTTTTACAATCCCTCCCCCTAGGTCCACTCCACTATGCAACCTTCGCTCTGGACCGCTGTCATGACAAAAATACCTAATCACATATCCCTTTTAAACAGTTTTCTTCGCTCTGGACCACTGTCATGACAAAAATACCTAATCACATATCCCTTTTAAACAGTTTTCTCTCACATATGTTTCAATGCAGTATACATTATTGAACCCATCTTTCTCAGCTCCCCCCCAACCCCGATGTCAGTCCTGTTTTACAACAATGGCACCATGCAGTATTTGTCCTTTTGTGACTGAGATATTTCACTCAGCATAATGTCCTCCAGGGTCACCCATTTTGAATAATATTGCATGAGTTCCTTGTTTTTCAATGCTGCATAGTATTCCATTGTTTGAGATCCAAAATGGTTGTAGCTTGTAGGCCAGGCAAATACAAGTAAGATCGGGGACCTTGGATCAGGGACCTTGCACTTCGTGGAATCAAACAGCGACAGTTTACAATTAAAATATTCCTAGAGAATCTCCTCCTGTACCAATCCAATTTGATGATACACACACACAAAAAGAATAAAATTTAAAAAAAAGCAACAACAAACCCACAGGGGTTAGGTGGAGTCAAGTCGGGGCGAGTTCTTGAGGCCCCCATGCTACCTCTGCATGGGCTTAAGCGCGACACTACATCTCCCAGAATTCCTCTCGCTGGCTCCCACCCACTCTGAAGGAACTGCGCGTGAGCACACGCCAGGCACCGCCCCGTCTCTCCCTTCACCCCGCCCCCCCAGTTCCCAAGGTGCTGTGCGCGGGCTGTGCGCCCGCCCCCAGCTGCCGGGTCTCGGCCCCCGCTCTGTCCTCTAGGGGCGGGCGCAGTGCGTGGCGGGCACCCGCGGCCGAGAGCGCCGGGCGCGTGGAGCCGTGTGGTTGCTAGGGGCGTCTCAGGCCATCCACTGGCCGGCGCCGCAGGCCGAGGAGACAGCCGCGTAAAGTGGGCGCCGCGCCGAGGTGACGCCGGGTCGGCTAGGTGAGTGCTGCGGCCGGGCCGGAGGACGGGCCCCAGCTGCCCCGCTCTCCCCACCCGGGCTCTCCGCGCTCTGCCCCGACCCTTGGACCGCTCCCGCCCTCACCCCGCTTCCCGCCCCTCGGACGGCGAGCGGGCAGCGGCCTCCTCGGCAGCCGGCCGCCTGCCGTGCCTGCCCGGTGAGCCCCTCCGAGGGGACCGCTGGGCAGCCCCTCGCCCGGTTTTCCCGCCGCGCTGCGCGCTCCTCGCATGGAGCGGAGCCCGAGCCGCGCCGAGACGCGAGGGTTGACCTGGTGCCCGCTCTCGCCGTGCTAGTTCCTTCAGGGAAACCCTCCTGAGGGAGGTTCCCGCAGGACCCGCGAACGCGCTCCTTGTGCCTGTGCGTCTGTCCTCTGATCCAGTCACTCCCGACAGCCTCTAATGAACGCAGACAAGTCGTGGGTGCGCCAGGCGCTCGGAGGGGCCCGGGGGACCCCGGGAAGGGGTCGCTGTGGGCCCCCCGCGCACGTGTATTCTCCTGGGACTGCTTTAGTTAAAGCGGGGTCGGGGCATACTGTGTGCTCTGCTTGAACGCAAGGACTTAACTTGCACGACGACCATGACCACGTTCCCTGCACTTTTCCGTTCTGTATCTAGAAAATGCTTCACATGGTGATGGACTGACTCACCTCCTCCAGATACTTCACGTCCTGTTTTGTCTTAACCGCAGCACCTGTTGCTTTAACCAGGTCCAGACATTTTGATGGGACACGAGCAGTCCGCGTTCTTTGGGACTGAGTCGCATCCAGTCCTTTCCTGTTTGTTGCCATCAATCCTGAGACATTGGTTACATAAAAACCATGCATCCTTTTGGATGATGGTACTTGTTGAACTAATATGTCCCAAATCCAGCCTCGGCCTTTCAACTTAATAGCAAGCAGTCCAGTAGGGCAGAGTAGAGCTGCCTTTGAGGTTTCTAAAGGCGTGAGGAACACACAGGTGGCCAGTTAGCTGCGCTATAATCCCACATACACGTGGTTTGAATCCACCAGCTGCTTCAGTTGAGAGACTGTTGGGCTGTTTCCTCCAGAGCGATTTACTGTCTCTGAAAAACCACTGGAGGGGTAGCTAAGAATCCCAACTCCACAGCACACAACAAAGGCACAAGCCGACTGCCTTTCACCCTAGGAGAGGCTGGTAAGTTTGAACCACCAACTTTTTGATTAGTGATCAAATGTTTTAACCACAGCTCTGAGTTCCCTGTAGAAGCCTTTTAAACATGTATCAAATAGTTTCTGGTAATAAAGAGGTAGGAGGAGATATGAGATACAGAGTAGCTTTCTAGGGAAGGTATAACAAATGAGAACTGGAAACAGTTTTGACAGTCTTAGCTGCCCTTGGAGAGAACCATCCGGGAACTAAAAGGAGGGGAGCTTTGGTGAGGAGGGATGTTTTAAAGAGCAGTTAAAACTGTTAGCAGATTGTTGGTTTTGATGCCTGGGTGATCAAGGTTCACACAGTGTTAAAAGAAGCCGTTTGTAACCTTGATGGTGCAGTGATTAAATGCTTGGCTGCTAATGTAATATCAGCAGGTTGAATTGACCAAAAACCCGATGAAGAAGAATGTGACCCCCTGCCTTAAAACCCGGGAAACCTAAAAAAAAAAAACCCAAAAAACAAAAAAACCCCAAACCAAACCACCTTGGAAACCTATGGAGCAGTTTTACTCTAACTTAAGAGGCCTAATTAGTCAAAAGAATTTGTGTGGTGACAGCAGTGAGTTTGGTTTTTGATTTTCAGATGAACTCTTTCTGAAACTGTACTTAACAACAGAGGTGATATATATCCCATGTGTAGAAACCACCTCAATGTTTCAAACATGGGAAAATTTGGATATATTGGTTTGAAGGAAACCACCATTTTTAATTAAGTTACCTCTCAAACCCAGGAGATTCCTCTTTTCTAACTGACTGCTGTTAGGATGACTCTTGTTCCATGTTGAGTTAACTGAGTTTACAACAGAATAATTATATATAACTGGAATATATTTTGGGACCCCAGACCTTTAAGCTATATTGGATTTTGGAAAACAAAACCCAAACCAAATAAACACTACTGTTGAGCTGTTTATGATTCAAAGTGACGATCCATAACTTTTGGAGGCTGTAAGTCTATGAGAGATTGTACGTTTTCCTTTGGAATAAAAAAAAGTGATATAGTCAACGAACTTCTTGTCGTTGAATCGAAACTGACATGACTGACTCTTCAGCAGGTTTTTGAGGCTAAATCTGTCTGTATATCGATCTAATCTACCTATCTTCTATATTTGTTGTTGTTATATGCTGTCAAGTTGCCTGTGACTCATAGTGACCCTGTGTACAAAAGCCCTAAACCCTACTCTATCCTGTGCCAATCACACTGTCTCGGACACACCTACCCGAATTACTCCAGTCATTGAATCA